CAATTAGAAGTACAATAATTTTGTTCCTTATGCCCTCTATAGATCCATAAGAACAAGTTTGGCTGTTAAGGCCGTTGTCCCTTTCTAATGATTAAGTTCATAATATATAAACAAAGTAGCATCCATTTTTCAGTTTAGGTAAATCATTTGGAAGAAGACTGGTGAGGAGATTCATCTAAATTTGCAGAGCACTAAGGAAGATTGGGTTATAAATAAGGGTTTTATATTTTTAATATTGTTGCAACAAAAATCTCATGTTACTTATGATTATGTATTCCGTAAAGTACATAGTTATAATATTAAAAGTTATTTTTTTTTCTTTCTCTATATCAGCCGACGACTCTCTAAAATGTTTTTGAAAAGAGAAAAAAATAAAAAAATTTAATATTATAATTATGTACTCTTCAAAATACATAGTTATAAGTGATGACAGAAGATTTTTTTTTTTCTGCAGCAACATAAAAAAGATAAAACCCTATAAATAAATGTGATAAGTTATAATCAGATAATAAAATTTATACAAACATAAAATATTATGTGTATAAGCGTCTCTAGCTATATCATTATTCCATGGGATCTATTAATCTCATGTTGCATGAAATAATTGTTTCATACAACAGAGACAAAATAGTGGGATCCATCATTTTAAAAAATAAATAAAAAGAAAACATTAATGTGAACCCCACTACTTTGTCTCTGTTGCATATCTCATGCAACATGAGATAATTATTTCCCTTATTCTATAGATGTTATGTTGCAGCGATAGCAGTAGGTGTACTGTATATGAAGTTTATAATGTGGTTTTCCAACTGAAATTTTTAACGAAATTATTGATTTTACTTAATAGTTAATACATGTTTGGATTAGATTGAATTTTAGGAAAAAATATTTTTTTGTTAAATAATACAATTTTGATTATAAATTATTTTAGATATAAAATAAAATAAGTATTACTAAACACACACTTAATCTACGCGAGTAGTTATGTAAATGAAGCTAATTACACTAACACATTGCTATTTTATATTAAATAATTGTGTTAAATAATTACCTTTTAGTTTAAATAATTGTCATTTTGTAAAAGAATTAAGAAAGTTATTAAACATTTTCAATTATAAGAAAATATAATTAAGTTAATTTGATTTTATTATCATCTTATTCCATTAATGTTCTCTCATTTTACTACTACTTTTATTTTTGTTATCTCCTTTATACATATTTTTACTTCTTAATTTACCGTTCAACCCATTAAGGTTAATTCATCCATTATTCAACTTACTTTTGTCTTTCTTTTACAAATTTAATTTTAAAGGATGTGGCATTTATTTGCCGCTTCTTGAGTAATGTTTTCCTTTTCCATTTAACTTATTAATAATTGTTGCAAAAATAAATTATTACGTATGAAAATTAAAGATTTTAGATTAATATGTGATGTTAAATTCTTAAGATTTTATTTGACATATAAATAAAATGATCCAAAAATGTAATACCTTAAAATTTTAGATTAATATGTAATGTCAAATTCTTTATTATGCTTAAACTCAATTAATGACTGGATAATATTGCTATTGGGAAATCAACACTGATTTTCTCTTACAGGACATGATGAAAATGGTGTACAATAAGTAAATTTTATTGAGCTTAACTTGGCTTTTATAAATATTTTCTTATAAAAATCATCTCATCCCATCCGGCCTCACCCTCCCTCGTCAGATTAAGGGCCTGTTTGTATGAAGTTTTTTTTTTTGTTAAAAATTACTTTTTCTTATAAAAAAAAGAGTAAATACCTTTTTTGGACCTCAACAAGTTTCACGATACCCGCTTTAGTCCCTAGCAAATGAAAAGGTCCATCGAGGTCCTAAGAAATTCAAAATAGACCCATTTTAATCCTTTTGAGGGACTAATATGGATCTTTTTAGAATTTGTGAGGTACCACAATTTTAACTAAATGAGCCCATTTTAAATTCCTTAAAGACCACGATGGGCCTTTTTATTTGTTAGGGACTAAAGCGGATATCGTGAAATTTGCTGAGGACCAAAAATGATATTTACCATAAAAAAAAATACTTCTATTGTAAAGTGCATTTGGATGGTTGCTTTTAGAAAAGCAAAGGTCATAAAAAAAAGTCAAAAAACTGATTTTTTTCAGAAGCTAAAATTTTTGGAAGTGAATCCTTCCATGTGAAAAAGTGGTTATGTGGTCAAAAAGTGATTATGTGGTCATGTTATTTGGTGATGTTATGCACTTTTCTCTCTCTTATCTCATCATCAATGAGTGGTTGTTATCAAATAACATGATCACATGATCACTTTTTCACACAAGAGTATCAAGTCCCAAAAATTTTAGCTTCTCAAAAAAACAAAAGTGAAAAGTCAATTTTTTACAAAATAAATAAATGTTATTTTAAAAATCTAAATAGTTTTAACTTTTATAAAAATCACTTTTAAAATAAGCAGGACATAAAAATAATTTTTTTTAGAAGATCATCCAAACACACTCTAAATATCAAATCCCTTCTATAAATATTCTCTCTCTATTACAGAATAATAGGGTATTGTTTACTCTGGTCAACTGAAGAACTCTCAATACCAATAAACATCGCTCTTCATCGTCTAATATCATCAGCGAAGCTTCTCAAAACTCTTGGTTCATACCATTGTCATAAGAGCAACCCTATATTAAGATATACCCGGTTTTTCAATTACCGGACAACTCACTGCAAATCAGGAAAAACAGAATATCAACAATAACTAATCTAGAAGAATCCTATCTCTTTCTATTTACAACAAGATCCTTAAAACTACTGTAACAACTTGATAGTGGATAATGGTATCATCAAATATCCAACTCTACACAATTAGTGCCCAAGTCAATACAGATTAGGCTTGTTTAATTACAAATTTCACCCTATATATCAATCTGACATTCTTTTATTCTTCTTTATGATCACACGCTCCCTTTTCTTTTGGCCAAAGATAATCCAAAAAGATAAGAACTACCGTCAGTGTTTGTCCTTTGTTTAGAATTATGCAAATCAACTAGTGTCTATATTCCGCTCCACAGCACTAACCAAGGCACAAAAAGTTGCTAACTTTTCCAAGTTAACAGGGCATTGGATTCCAATAAGAGAGTGAACGATCTGGATTGCTCTAGGATAAATATAACTTTAACTATCACTGGCAAAAAATACTCAACAAATAAAAGAGACATTGTTCTCTTAAGTTCATTTTGGCCACTGTTACGGACCTTTGAGGTCACCATCTCAAAAGCTAGCTCAAAGGGTGAGAGTATCTAAGGCCTTATGAATAATATTCTTATACATCGTAACATTGCCACCCCTTTAAGGGCCGACATCCACAGCGGCTTTCACTCTATCGACACTGACCCAGCGGTAGCCCTTTCCCCTTTTGGGGCGGCTTCACTCACCTATCAGTATTCAGTGCCCAAAGGCACCTTAATCCAGCCTATAAGTAGCCCTTTCCGTGACCCCAACTCTCAATGAAAGCACCAATTATTACAACCTAGGGTTGTAGAGAAAGGAACAGAGGAAGCTTTGAGAAGAAAAGAAGAAAGTATCGTTTTATTTCATCAATGATTCATTACATCTCAGTTTTGTATATTTATATAGGTAATTTCTTACATCAGTGAATACCCTTCTAACTAACTAACCCTCTAACACGTTCCAAAGGGTTAACCGCTTCAATTGCCACGTTGCATCTTCAAGTGTAGTCACGTGCCCAAGCTGGTGCCCCACGTAAGCGGTTGGATGTCTTACGTGTTGTATCAGCCACACCCTCAAACTAACTAAGCTTGGGGCATTGGTTTCTCCGTGAACAACTTCCAAGATTCAATTGTGGTAGTGTTCCGGGTTCATACAGTGAGCCGTACTTGCTCGTAAGAGTAAAGGACACAGAACCCAGATATATTTTACCCGGATAGGCGTGGTCATGTCAGTGAGTATTACACGTAGTGGAGTTAGCAGTTGGTTGAGTCAGCCAGTAGTACAAGTAATGGAGTTATAAGTGGGCCTACCACGATGGTATGATGGTATCCACCACTTCCATAATAAAGGTAACTGTTCGGAAGCTAGCCCCATATATACACCAAGAATAGAGATAATAAGAGGAGATAACCAAAATAGATATCCATACAAATGTTCGTCCAGAACAGGTAATGTGGGAACGAGTACCCTCGCGAATGTAATTGCACACCATTGTGTTCAATTTCCTCGCCCGATTTCGTCCTCGCTTTTTCTGAATTATGTTTCTGTTTCAAACCATGTTTTTTCGACAAAAGGAGAACATTATATAAAGGTAAATAAAAGAAGGGCAAATGATTTGTGCTTTGGTAGCAAGAAAAAAAAAATCTCTAAGCCACTGAAGCAGAAATCATTTGCCGATGAAAGAATCGAATAAAAGAATGTAACTGTTCTTCACAAGGTTGAATTTTCTTTTTTCTTTAGTACGATGTTTAGCCTAGCCTAGCCTTTTATCTTTATTAAGTTCATTAACATCAACATGAGTTTAATTTTGATTCATTTATTGTTTTTAATTTTTTGTTATGTTTAATCATGTGTTTTAGAGTTTTACCTTATTTAATTACATTTACAATAAATCCAATAAATATTTACTCAATCAACAAAAACTGCATAGAATTAATGTTAACGTTACAAAATTAGGAACCTGTATCTATCTTCTAAAAACTCCTCTTTCTTCAAGACGTTAACAGCTATTGCTCGATCGTTTTCCAGTTCATATAAGTCTCATTCTTTCACCTGAGTTATATTCTCTAAGCTGGATCCGAGCTCCTCTTAATTTCTTGTTCATTCCTACAACTTGGTTTTCATACCATTCTTCCTCTCTTTTCATTTTGAACCATAATATTGGCACACTATTTTTATGGCACGCTGTTCTTCCAAGATGAAGCAGCAAGCATCAAAGGTCCAGTAAAGGCCCAAGAAGTTGGTCCATGGGCTTAGGCCCTGTTAACCAATGGTGAATGATTGCTGCTATCGTCATGGCGTGGTAGGTGAAGAAGAGAAGAGAAGAGAAGAGAAGAGAAACGTGGAGTGGGAAAAAGGTACTCCAAACAAAACAAACCACGCTACTATGGCCAAATGGAATGGTCTTGTTCTTGCGGTAGGTAAATACTAACACTAAAAAAAAAGCCTTAGGCTTGGAGAAAGCAGCAACACCACGAACGAACCAATAGCATATTCCACTCTCACCAACCCCTCCATTTACATTCACACCTCTCCAACTCCAACTCCAACCATGTGTTATTAGTTCTTCATGTATTCCCTTTTAATATTTCCTTAATCTCCATTTTGCCCCTCACCAACCACCACCTTAACCATAACCCAGTCCTATATTACAAATACAATCATGCTCCTCTTTTTTTCTCAGGGAAGAGGTTCATACTTGAGATCGAGACACACTCACACACACACCTACTTTCTTATTCTTCCTTGCCAATCTCATGGGTATTGAGAACGAAATGAAGCAACCAAAAAAGGACATTATGTTCAGGTCAAAGCTTCCCGATATCTACATCCCAAAACACCTTCCCCTTCATTCATATTGCTTTGAGAACCTAGCAGAGTTGGGATCACGACCCTGTTTGATCAATGCCCCAACGGGGAAAATCTACACCTACTACGACGTGGAGCTCACCGCACGAAGAGTTGCCTCGGGTCTCAACAAATTGGGCATCCAACAAGGTGACGTGATCATGGTCCTGCTTCCCAATTGTCCAGAATTTGTGTTTGCTTTTCTTGGTGCCTCTTTTCGCGGTGCCATCACCACTGCTGCTAACCCTTTCTTCACCCCCGCTGAGATTGCTAAACAAGCAAAAGCTTCCAATGCCAAGTTGCTCATAACTCAAGCCTGTTACTATGAGAAAGTTAAGGATTTGGATGTGAAGCTCATGTTCGTGGACTCTCATCCGGAGGGGCATCTTCATTTTTCTGAGCTGGCTCATGCAGATGAGAATGAAATGGCTGAGGTAAAGATCAACCCTGATGATGTTGTGGCATTGCCTTATTCATCGGGGACAACAGGGTTGCCAAAAGGGGTGATGCTGACACACAAGGGTTTGGTTACTAGCATAGCACAACAGGTGGATGGGGACAACCCCAACCTTTACTTTCACACAGAGGATGTCATACTCTGTGTGCTTCCCTTGTTTCACATATATTCCCTCAACTCTGTTCTGCTTTGCGGCTTGAGGGCCAAAGCTGCTATTTTGTTAATGCCAAAGTTCGAGATTAATGGGTTGCTGGGTCTGGTTCAAAAATACAAAGTGTCAATTGCTCCAGTCGTGCCACCCATTGTTTTGGCCATTGCCAAGTCCACAGACCTTGATAACTATGACCTCTCCTCCATTAGGGTGTTGAAATCTGGAGGTGCTCCCCTTGGCAAAGAACTCGAACACACTCTCAGGGCCAAATTCCCCAAGGCCAAACTCGGACAGGTATTCTTTTCTTTATATATCTAGCTAATCGGTGTTATTATCAATTAATATAAAGTTTTAAATATGAAAAAATATAACCATACAAAAATAGATATAAATATAACTATTGGATTAACATAATCGATCTAATGGTGAAATTGATAGGTAATAATTTTAATAATAACATTAATCGATTGTTACAATATCCTACTCATATATATTGAATAAAATGTTAGCCTACATCACGCTTAGCCCAATTTAGGTCGAGTTGACTCATTTATCCTCCAGATTTGACCACACAAATATATAGAATGAAACGGCTGCCACTTGTCTTAAAATTTCTAAAACGTTTTCCTTCGTAGTATTTTCAAGATGTATGTGACCATTTCAGTTATGGTATCTCTATCACATGTATAAAGGGTTCAATTTGTTAAATAAATAAAAAATATTTTCTTTAAAAAGTAGTAGTATTAAAGGATTAATTAAGAACTGATAGATTGATGATTAAATACAGGGATACGGGATGACGGAGGCAGGTCCAGTGTTGACCATGTGCTTAACATTTGCTAAAGAGCCAATAGATGGAAAACCGGGTGCATGTGGAACCGTCGTCAGGAATGCAGAAATGAAGATTGTGGATCCCGAAACTGATAATTCTTTGCCCCGAAATCAACCTGGTGAAATTTGTATTAGAGGTGACCAAATCATGAAAGGTAATTTAATTATAACTTACCCCACAAGGCTTAGTCTATCCAAATAACAAATCTTGCATTTGATTAAGGTTGAAGTTTCTTCAATATGGATGGTCTGTTAAGTCAAGGCCTCGATCGTCAACCCACTAACAAATCATGCATTTTGTCAAATAATGGTACTAGCTAATTGTCAAAGGTTAAACATAGAAAGAAAAGTCAATAAATGAGTCATATATAGCATTGCATGCCAACCACGAACAAAATCACCCATGTTTTAGGTTAACCAGTTATATATATTAATTGCCAATCATAAAGTCCATCTAACTAGTAGACAATGGGATTGTGAAAGTATTAAATTAAAAAGAAAAAAAAAAGGAAGGAAAAGGAAATTCTAGTTATTGCTTACTACTCAATATATTAAAAAAGCAAGAAAACTTTATATTTATAACAAAATGACTTAAAAATAATAATTTAAACCAAGTGCTTGGCACATACTAAATTGTTAAACGTTCAGGTTATCTAAACGATCCGGAAGCTACTGAAAGAACTATAGACAAAGAAGGTTGGTTGCATTCGGGTGACATTGGGTACATCGACGAGGATGATGAGTTGTTCATCGTTGATAGGCTGAAGGAATTGATTAAATACAAAGGGTTCCAGGTGGCTCCTGCTGAACTCGAATCCCTTCTTCTTTCCCATCCTAGTATCTCCGATGTTGCTGTGGTCCCGTAAGTGCCCCATGTTTTATTTATGTTTTTGGTGCAATTTTTTTATATATACATTTCACCGAACGAAATTCCTCACATTTTGTAATTAATAAGAAATTTTGAATTTTCAGAATGAAGGATGAAGCAGCTGGTGAGGTCCCAGTTGCTTTTGTGGTGAGATCAAATGATCATATCGATACAACTGAGGATGAAATTAAGCAGTTCATCTCCAAACAGGTAATTTTGTTTTTATCATTTTTTACTTGTTTACTTCTTATTTTTTGCAAATATTACATTGAGTTTTCCTGTTACCTTTACATAGTTAGAGATGTTACACTTTTATTTATTGAATTAGAACATATATATTCTCACCAACTCCAACAAACAAAAAAAAAAAACCAAAAAAATACCACGGAGATGAACTACTTCCTTTGAAAATCTTGATAAGATTTTAATATCTCGTGCACGGTGCACCCCACCTAGTTTTTGTTCAAAGGTAGCAATGGATCGAATCTAATCATTAACGTGTCTTGTGTGCATGATGATCACGCGCAGGTGGTGTTTTATAAAAGAATAAGCCGAGTATTCTTCATTGATGCCATTCCCAAGTCACCATCGGGCAAAATATTACGAAAGGATCTAAGGGCAAAGCTTGCAACAGGTGTTCCAAATTGAATAATCCATTTCCATTATTGTATGATATTATATATATGCTTATTTCATATTATTATACTATGCCCGCTTAAGCTTCAACAAATTAGAAAGGGCAAAGGCGAGGCTTGACCACAATTAATACGCATGTCAGCCATGTATAAGTAACTAGTTTGATGTTCTTTTATTTCAGAACAATCTATTGTAAAAATTTCATTCAATTATGGACTTTCATTTTCTTTATATTCGTATAAACAAAAATGTATTGTTGCTTTTAATTTGTTGTATATTTGGTATAGCAAAATGGTCCTCCTTCCACACTATAAAGAAATTTAAATAAAGATAAAACCAGCATATAATTGTAATGATTCCAGTTTGGCATTACTATTTACTAGCCATCAATCTGAAGTTAGTTTCATAAATTGAATCATTTGTTACTTATTTAGTGGTTAATTAGTTATATATCCATGCACACGTTGTTTTCTTTGGCGAAAGTATATTGAGTTATTATAAATATTTGTTTTTTAAATTAAAGATTTATGAAGCACTTAGACTTACGGTTTGAAGGACCCATGCACTGATCAAACAGGTTATACTTATATATAATTGATTTCTTCACTCTTTATCGGATTCATATAGAGAACAACTCTCTCAAAACTATTTTTTTCATTGCCAGGAGAAAAGGCATCAAGAATGAAAAGGAGCTAATTGCTATGTATATGCAATTAATCCAAACCATATGATGATGAATGAGTTTGTAATTAATTTTTCTTTAGAAAAGCAATTTGAAAGAAACAACGCTTTAACTTTGATTCTATTTATTTATAATTTATAATAATATATTCAAACTAAAGCGTAATGCAACTTGTTCCATGAATATATTTCCATCATGTCAATCCTTGTCATGAGCTCACTTCTCTTTTAACAACTCTATTTTATTTTCCCCAATCCATTCGAATGAATAAACAACACCTTATGGTGTGATTTTGTTAGGTACACAAGCACAAAGTACGTAAGGAAAACCCATTGAGAGAAAAGTTATCTTACTTATTATCTATTAGTATTAACACTTCCATTATATCAGTAACTATGATAAACTAATTGATTGCTGTTGCAACTGCCTTGAAACTGTTACAACGTCACTAAACATATGACAATTCCTCTAACTATATTGCAAGGTTGTTAACATTATCCTAACAGCCTAACGATACCTCCAATTGTAGATTTTTTTTTTCTTTGTATCATCCCGTTACAGATTTTCATCAAGATAGTTTAAATTAAAAAGTGGCACATGTCATTAATGTATTGCATACTGTTTAGTGAATAAGTTTTTTTTTTATTTAATTGATTCAAATTGACAAAGGAATAATCAATTTGTCAAACATCCATGTCAATTTGAATAAATAAAATAAAAATAAAGCACACATCCATGTATGAGTGATATGAGAAATACTCTATCTAACAACATGAGAAAGTATTTCCCCCTAGCATAAAGCATTAACAAGATACAAAATCAATATACAAGAGATAATATTTCTCCATAAGAAAATCATGTAATAAGCATTAACTTCAAAAAATACATATAACTATTTTCTTAACATTACGTACTCAATTTATGTAAACTTAGTGTTTAGACAGAGTACTGTTTCTCAATTTTTTTTTTTTAGGTGGTGGTTTGCCCATTTTTTATATTTGTTGCTTTTGGTTATATTAAAACCTATCTTCTGTCTGTACATTTATAAGGACTCTACAAATCAAGTTGTGAATGACAATGAAAAATCAAAATAGTGTTGGAATGTGCATATAAAGGGTCTGGCCTATGTTATTATAGGAGAGACAAATCATTAGCTTCGTGCCTGAGGGAATCTTAAGATGATAGGACATAGCATGTCAAAAGCAACTAGCCCTTAAAAATTAATGTGGCGAACATGTCATTCAACATAATTGTATGACATTTTAGTAGTTAGCTAATATAAAGTATAAACCACATTACAAAGTACATACCCACAACACTAACCCATTATAGTTAATTTATGTCATTATCCAACTCCTACAATCCTCCTAACTCTTCCCAAGCTATTTCCTCGAATTGTTGAATTTGCATTTATTTTATCAACCATTCATGACTTCCTAAATATAATATTTCATGGTAATATTTCTAATCTTGGAATATTATTTTCAAGACATTATCGTATATATTAATAATATATTCTTTTATGCCAATGATTTTTTACTTCATCAAATAACATAACAACTCAAACTAAAAATATATATATAAACCAAAAAAATACTTAGATCAATATTTTACATCAATCTAATAGTATATTTATAGATAATATCTATTAATTGGTTACTTCAAAATGTTGTAGAATTTTTTAGATGAGAACACAATCTTTTGCATATTAACAGAAATTATATAGCTGGCGTGTATAATATTTGTTTTAAACTAAATCTATGGTTAGATAGGTGACTTACTGAATTAGGAATCGAATGCTTTAATGGAGTTTTGTGTGGACTCAATTGGACCTTGTCATTGAGGGAATCCTAAATGGTATTTACCACTGTTTAGAAATTTCATACATGCTATGCAATGCACTTCAAAACACAGTATGAACGGACAAAAAGAATAGTCAACTAACTACACGTCGCAAATCAGAATGCAGAAGAAGGCCAACAAGCCTATCCAAAGCCTCTGTACGAAAAATATAGGATCCGGAAAAGGGTTAGACACTAGTATATATATGCATCCAATCCAATCCCTCTTTTTCTAAAGCCAGCAACTAGCTAGCTACTAACAACGAAGATTCATCATTCATGCATATATGATAAGTATTTATTTAATTACTAGTGCAAGAAATTAAAATTCTCCCAAAGGTAACATTGTTCGCACGTGCTCGGTGACTTTGGACTTCACTGTAGAGACTTTTAGCCCAAACAAGACGCAGTAGTGGAGCACATGACATCAAGAATTGCTTTCCCGTCTCTGACTGTTTTCATCAAACGCAGCTTCCTGGATTTTGATTTGAATTCTATCAACGAGTGTCTTAAGGAATTAAAAATATTAAAAACATTCAATAAATATATAATACTTAATGCATTAAAACATTTTAAAAATTACTTAATGCATTACCTTTCGAAGTTTCTTTGAGCCTTACACTAATTAACACAATGTTATTTCGCATACACGGTGAGAGCGTACACTAATTAAGCAGCAAAATCTGGCCTAATATTATACCAATGACTAGTTGTTTTATATTTTCACATTTATGTTGTTGGTGAAATGGTGAACGCACGCACCTGCTGTTCTGTAGTTGCATCTATCATTAATTCTCATAGTCAACTGTCTTACACTTTTTGCCCACTTTGAGCTAGCGCTAGCGCTAGCACATCCATCTATTATTGCTTTCTCTCAACGAAAATCTGCCTTTGCAAAGGGTGTTGTTCCTAATATTCAACTCTCTGACCTATATTAATTATTTCAATTTAGATTCTAGTTAGTTCCAATTCGAACTACTGTTCTATGCAATCAAATACTTTGAAACATTTTGTATTTTAATTTTTTTTCCTGAAATTGACTTTCAGTTTTCCAATTAGCCAACCTCGCCATTAAAGATTTCAGTAGATAACCTCGCCATTAATTTTTTTTTTTTTTTATAGAAACCAAGAATTGACAACAAAATCAGTATTTTAATTTTCTTTTCTTTTACTCTTTTTTTAAAAGTGACTTCCGAAAACATAACAAAATGGGGTAAATAATTTGAAAAAAAGAATAACTTGATAAAAATAACCTATCCAAACGGGCAGTCTACGTTCTCTTACTTTTGGAGTTTTGGTAGGTGAAATTCTAAACAAGGTTAAAAGAGGTTTTGATCATGACAAGATACACGAAGCTGAGGCTTCGCCAGCTCATACAGTCATTCTTCGTTTGCCATGTCATTTTACAATTCGAGATTCTAGCAATAAAAACCAACACACGAGAAAGAAAAAAAATCAGTATGTGGTATGATCTCAAGATGATTGGCACGTAGTGGAGATACATGTCTCTCCCCTTTAGATTTTCAACTTTTAATCTACTAATGATGGCATCTCAAGCCTCTTTCCCACTTTTTACCCACCCACCTACCTATTGGTAGCTACCCCGCAAATGGCAGCTCCATTTCGAGCAATTGCAGGATCTTGAAAACTAGCCATAATCGAATGCGATGAAACCATACGTAACGAGGGAAGAATGAAGTGCACAACCAGCTCCGCAATAATCAAATTTGCAGAGCCTTTATCTTCTTAAGAAGTTTGCAGCGTATATAAAAATTACGATACGAATTGGAGCTTTTCTTCTTTTAAAAATATAAGGCATAACCACGATATATGAATTCAAATAACTCCGTCCAAGTACTTAAAAAGAGGATATTACCTTCCAGTAAATGGCAACTATCAAGAGAATAATCGATGTTGGAATGAAATTTTGTTCCTTCTTTCATTCCAAGCAAAGAGAAAAGTAGTAATGAGGATAAATATACAACGGTAAATTCCATCTTTCCACCATGGTACCACTAATGATGCTTGATAGGAATTAGAATCAATTTTCACAGAAAGAAAGTCGTTCGATTATAATGTATGAGACAGAGAAATACATTAAATTAAAGAGAGCGATGATGTTCTAAAAAATTGCAAATGTGTACAACAACATCCTTCCAAGGAAAACGAAGCAAGGTGAACCAAAATGGGACCCCAAAAATATTCCTGACTCTACCTATTAAAAGAGAGGAGCCTCACTTGGCTCCGCAACCATTGATGACTACTATTACTAACAATCTCAACCAAATACGAAAAAAAAACTCTTCTTTCTTGTGTGCTAGCTAGCGATAATGAAGAAGAGACTATCTCCGTTCTCCACCTCACCTCCAGGTTCTTGTTCAGCAAAATCCTCCAACAGTACTCGGGTGTCACATAACACGCTCATTGGGCTAAAAAAAGATAACAAAACAAAATAGAGGGGAAAAAGCACATAAATTGAAGCGGAAGCAATTAGGGATATTGGCAGAAGGATTACATTTCCGTACATAAGATAAGGCTAAAAAGACAGGTGCCATGCCAGATTCATGTTATGGTAAGAGCAAATCATCATCATATCCAAAATCCAAAGGCTCAAAGATTCAAATATGAAATCCGCAACACAAGTACAACACAGTAGGATTAGGATTAACCAAAAAGGGAAAGATGAGACAAGATTGGTTTGATTTTGCATTTCCCTTCCCACCACACCACCGATTTTGTTTTTATAATTAATGAAGAATTACAACAACAACAACAACAACAAGAACAAGAACAAGAAGAAGAAAGAGAGAGAGGGAGACTATGAAGAGAGTGGCCTGGGGGGAGGAGGTAGTAGTTGATGAAGGTTGTGAGGAACCTGGTTATGGTGAGGAATCCCCTGAGCTATAAAAGGGTGATTCAGCAACTTTAAAGCGCTCCACCTACGAGAGGGATCTCTCTGCAAACACCGGGAAACGAAATCCCTAAACTCAGGCGAGGCCGTTGGAGGGGCTTCGGGTGGCTGAGACATACAAATGGCACACATCAAGCTCGCCCAATCACCTTGCCTGCCAACGGCGAAGGGAAACCTGCCCATGTAAAACTCCAAGATGCTAACCCCAAGGCTCCATATATCTCCAGCGTATGCGTCGTATTGCCCATCATTGATGTCAGTGTTTATCCTCTCCGGGCTCATGTACGCGATCGTACCCACCGACGAATTGCACGGATCCATCGTCTGGTTCAGAATCCGACCCACACCGAAGTCCGCGATCTTCACCTGCTTCCTCGAGTTGATCAGAAGGTTCGACGGCTTGATGTCGCGGTGAACGATGTGCCGGCGGTGGAGGTAGGCGAGCCCCTTGAGAATCTGGCGAGCTAGATCTGCGAGCTGTTGCTCGTGCGGGATGTGTTTCCCTTCCAGCGAGCCACCGTCCATGAACTCGAGAAGCACCTGGATTTCGCCGTTGTGATCGTACATGTCATGGCACCGAACCACGTTCTGATCGTCAACGTCGCGAAGGATCTGGATCTCGCGGTGGATCTGCCGACGCACCGAATCCTCGTGATGACCGTATATCACCTTGAGGGCGTAGACGCGATCGGTGGGTCGGTGGACCACCTTGTAGACGGTGCCGCCGCTCCCGCTGCCGATGCGACTGATGCGATCGAGCTCCGAGAAAGGGATCAGCTGGTAAGTGGGCCCGGAGGTTGAGGTGGCGGACGACGGCGGAAGGGGAAGTGGCATGGGTAATGGTGCGTTCCGCTGAGGCAGCGGCAAGGTCAGGTTGTCCTTGCGGCGGCGCTGGGGACGGTCCCGGTTGTTGGATGCAGAAGCAGAGCCGGTGGGTGGTGGCAGTTGATTCGGCCTCATCTCATCTCTCTTCTTGAGTATCGAAAAATGGATAGATGGTTGAGTTTATCTTTAATATATGCAAAGGGGAAGAAAAGAAAGTTTATATCATATACATGACCACATGGGAATGAATGGAATTCAAGTAAGAAGAAGTGAAGAGAAGAAGAGAATAGAAGAAGGTTCCGGGAACTGTGAGAACCCAAAGAAAAGAAAAGGAAATTTTGTTTGTTTGGCAGAGAGAGAGAGAGAGAGAGAGAGAGAGGGCGTTTTATTTGACAAAGAAATTTGAAGAAAAAGAAAAAGAAAAAGAATGTATTTTGAGATTGGGAGGTGGCTATCAAAAGAGGGAATCCAGATTTAAAAGGCACGGGGTCCACGCGCCTCCATGGCCCGTGAGGAACGTGGACCAATTGTGTGCCTGCGTAGACTGGGGGTGTAGGTGTAGCCTACATCTACATGCTTGGATCACACCACACATGCATATATATATATATATATATATATAGATAGAGAGAGAGGGGTTACCTTGTCATTTATCATTTATTTATTATTTATTGTTTAACCCCAATCACATCCATTCTCTCTCCATTCATAACACGCAACAACTCGAAATTTACACTCATGTGTCAACCTCCGCTGCATCTCCTTCAATTATATTATTATTATTGAAAACCCTATCAAATAACCATCGTACCTGCACTTTTCATTTAATTGAAAAAAACTAAAACATGTTGATGGCAAAAGTAAATTTTCATTTTCGTCCACTCTTAATTTGATTTCGGATTACTCTTGACAATAATTACTAAAAAAATTAAATATTTTTAAAATTTATAAACACTTAATGATTTAAGTAGTTGAAATTAAGAGTGGGTTCGGTAAATCATGTGAACTTGTCTTGATTTAAGCAGTTGAATTCATTTTTTATTTGTTTAAAAATTGTGTTGTTTGAGTACATTGCATTGTTCTCGATTTATAATTAATATCTCAATATTTTTAATAACTTATTTATTGTGGGACAAATAACAATATATATTGCAATAATGATTCTATTTTTATTTATATAATAGTGCACTTTATCAGTTCTCTTTTACTTATTTAATGAGACATTGATATGGAATGTAAAGAAAAAGAAACTATTTAATGTAATACTTATTAATGTGATAATGTTATAAATGATTTTGATATTTTAAAATGATTTTATTTATATATTTAACATATTTGAATTGCAAGTTAAAACAGTGTTTATTGATACACGGCATCTTTTATGGAATGGAGATAATGTTCGGGATCTTCTTAAGAAATATGGAGAGATCGATAAGATTGAGCTCGCCAGGAACATGCCAGCCCACATTCGAGGCTGATGGAAGTGCTCCAACAATGCTTTTAATATTATTTTTTTCCTTAAGTAATGATTAATTGCAGTTATTAAGTGGCTACCAAAAGTTTAATCATAACTATATAAACCAAAATTTTAAAACTCGAACACGTCATCGAACCGGTCGAGGTATTGGGTCACTGGTTTAATCGAGTTCAACCGGGTTGAACCGGATTTATTGTTCACATATTACAAGTATAAAAATATTAATATATTAATAAAAATTCACATATGAAAACTATTAATGAGCTTCAAAAAATAAATTGATTTTCAATGATAGCAAATATTATATATTTCTAAGCTTCTAGCTCTAGACCATATCCTAATATTGGATTAAAATTGCAATATAAGTTAAATGCACATTTTGTGCTTGACATGATACGGATAAATTAAATCATAATAACAAATAGTATGCATGAAATATACATTAAGAAAAGAATGTCACCGTTATCATGATAACAAATAGTATGCATGAAATATACACTAAAAAAAAGTGTCCACCATTGAGATGAGATCATGAGACCATCAGTGTTTATCATCACTTAACTTCATGAGATCATTATAAGATACAACTAAATTACATAAACGAACTGCACTAATTTAAAATACCTTATTATTTTCACCTTACTTTTAATCATATTCATCATAAAATATGAATATGATATAATTCAAGAGTTCTTATCAACAACAACAAAAAATTACCAAAAAAAAAATATAATAACCGGTCTAACCCGGGTCAACCGGGTTTCGGCAAGGTCAACAGGTCCAATCTGGGTTGACTGCAGAAGCGGTCCAACTACCTGCTCGGAACGGGGAACCCACCGGGTCACCGAGTCCCAGGTCGAACCGGGTTTTAAAACACTGATATAAACATTATTACGGTCGCCAAGTTATAGCAAAATTCTAAAAAGATTTTAAGACAATCAATGAAATGAAAAAATAAAAAAATAAAAAATATGACCATTTTAGGTTTATTACATGATTAATTATTGTTGGATCAATTTGAAATCAACGATTTAATTAAAGAAAAAAATAAGTTCAATTTTTAAATTGATACCGTTCATAATTCGATTCAATTATTTTAAATTTGTAGCACACCCGTAATTAAATATTTTTTATTTTTTAATTGACATGGTGATTTGAGGCCACCAAGAAAAAAGAAAAATAAAGGGACTAAAAACTAACTAATGAAGAAGAAATGAAATGTAAAGAGCATATCAATTAGTAAAAAATTAAGTTAATGAATTGGGTTAATTTTGAATCCACCGTGATCATAATGATTCATTTGATTTGCTTAAAAACAAAGCACTCGACGTAACAAAACTCTTTGTCTAACACTTGATGTTAAAAACAATTATGGATAGTGTTTTGTCCTTGAGACAGAGATATCTAGCCCAATAGGCTAGTATGTTGATATTGGATCTAGTGCCCTCTCCAAGGTATCTATGAAGGAGATACCCTTGAGTCAAGCAGATCATTGTGCACAGAATACTATAACGGCGTTAGCCAATGGGGTGTGTGTGTGCGCACAGTGACAGCATAACAGTAAGAGAGAGAGCGTACGTACCTTTAGGGTTACCTTTGTATTTATAGAGGTTACCTGTGGGTAGTGTGGATGGGCCTTTGGTTCCTCTTATGAGGGTCCAGGCCTGATAGCTATGATGTCGTATTAGGATTAGTATCTTTATTGGATATCTATCCTTTATTGGTATCAATCCATATCTTGAATTGCCCCTTGTTGTGCTTGCTACTTAATGGGCCCATTATACGGGTCCATAACAGTTGCCCCTCAGCCCGGCTACCTGGGTGTCCGGTAGTCGGGATGAACTTATGAGTGCATCTCTCCAGGTTTTTACCCCTGAATGTGTTTGCGTTTTTGTAGACTTGCATGCTCCGCTTATGAGGGAATTTTTTCCTCGCGGGATGTCCCTTGCCCCCTTATGTCGACGGGTTGAGCATCAACCCGGTGAGACATTTTGCATACCCATTGTTGTATGGTCGGTCTTCCCATGATTATATTATATTCTGAAGGGAAATCAGCCACTATAAACCTAACCCGTTCTGATCTGAATGCATCCTTTGTTCCCAAGGTTAATCTGAGATCAATGTAGCCTTTAAGAGGTCTATGCTCTCCATTAAAGGCTACCAGCGTCATTTTGCAAGGTTTGAGGTACTCTTCATCCAGGTTCATCTTTTTGAAAGCGTCCCAGAGTATGATGTCGGCACAACTCCCTGCATCCACGAAAATCTTTCGAACCCTGCAATTCACTAGGGTCCCTGCAATGACCAGTCCGTCAACATGACCCGGCAACACGCCGCGCATGTCCTCTTTGGTAAAGTACAAAATATGAGGGTCTGGCTTGGTTGGGTCTTCTTTGAACTTGGGACGATCTCGAATAGAGAGTACCTCTTTCAGATATTTTCTTCTAGCACTTACAGTATCTCCTCCTCCCCCAAAGGCTCCACTAATTACATTACAATCAAACTCCACTTCTGAGAATTCGTCATAGTTGGGATCATTTTTCGGATTCCTATCCTGTTTGTTCTTCTTTTCAGGAACGAGACTTTTGCTCCATTTTTTGTTTCACAACTTCCTTTTATTGTTTCTGGAACCTTGGGTTTTATCACGTATTGACGTAGCCTTCCATCTCGAACAAACTTCTCCACCGCATCTCGGAGATCCCAGCAATGATCAGTAGTATGCCCCGGTCCGTCATGGAAAGCACAATATTTGGACTTATCCAAACCCCCTCTGTCGAATATAGGCCTGGGTCTCTCCACCTTCTTCATCTCCGTGAGTGCCACTTCCTTCCAGATTTACGAGCGCGACACATTCAAAGGTGTATACTTGTCATATCTCTCAACCCGATACCTCATGTCCGGGATTCGGGGGCGTTGATCTTTCTTCTTACTGTCAACTCGTTCTTTCCCCTTTTGAGGTGGGCTCCTTCTTCTTGGGCTTAACATTTTGCCCTAATCGGATTGCGCATTTGCAATCTCCATTTGCTCTAGTTCGAGATATTTCTTCGAACGAGTTCTGAATTTCTCCAACATCCTTACTGGGTCTTTATAGACCGACTTGGCTAGTCTGGATGCACCATCCAAACCCACCACAATAAGGTGAACATGAACATTCTCTTGCAGCCCCGGGACCTGCAATGCAGCATCCTTGAACCGATTAAGATATTTCTGGAGGGTTTCTCCGGTTTGCTGTCGTATCTTTCCGAGAGTGAACTCGGACTTCGGATGCTTTTTGCTAGTTGCAAAGTTCAAGAGGAACTTCTGTCCGAATTCTTCAAATGACCCGATGGAATTAGCAAGAAGGGTTGAAAACCATGCCTGCGCTACTCCAGTCAGTGTTATGGCAAATATCCGGGATATGAGAGGTTCATCAATTCCTCGGATGTACATATCCGTGTCAAAAGCATCTATATGGACCTGCGGATCCTGGCTCCCACCGTACTTTGGCAGACGCGCCAAGTCAAAATCCTCCGAGAAGACAACATTTAATATTTCGCCAGTAAAAGGGCTATTATTATACTACCCCCTGCTATACTTCCTTCTATACGCGCCGGGTTCTACTCGCCCCTGAATGTTTTGAGCGTTCTGGTCAGGGTGAATCAGAACCCGGTCACCCTAGCCGTTAGCTTGCTCCACATGATTTTGCGCATTTTGGCCATCTACGACCTAGTTTCTCTGATCTGGGTTTGCAGCGTTCACTGGATCGGGCCTAGTATGATTTTCTGCATGGGGAACCCGATTTGGGCAAACCACGTTCCGAGCTCCTTCTCGGCCATTGACAAGTTGGCCATCAGCTTCAATTGCTCTTGGTCTAGTCAACTACGTTAAATGCCGCTCCAGGTCTCGCATTCCTCTGTTGTTTTCCTCCCGTATAGCCCTGAAATCCTGCTGACGTTGCAAGTTATTACAGTTTTCCAGGTCTGTTATTCGTTCCATGATTGCAGCGAACGCATTGTTGGCCAACCGAGTATCTGGATCAGCCGATTGAGCAATACCCGCAGCCAGATCTCCTGGATGCCGGGGAGGGTTGTTTCTTATTGGAGCTACGTTGGCCCCAGCCCCCTATCCCGACGCGCTGGAGTAGAAGCGGTATCTAAGACATCGTCCTCGACCTGAACGTGGTCATAATCCATGTTGTTTCTGATCTGGTTCGGAGGCTGGTTTACCTCCTCCAAGACTGGATCCAACGGTTGATTCTGGTTTGGGGGTGGCTGCTGGCTACTGCTCCTCGTCTGGATTGCCATCCCTTATCAGATTGGTGGGAACTTCAAATTCAAAGATGAATTCCCCACAGACGGCGCCAATGTTCCGTCCTTGAGACAGAGATGTTTAGCCCAATAGGCTAGTATGCTGATATTGGATCTAGTGCCCTCTCCAAGGTATCTATGAAGGAGATACCCTTGAGTCAAGCAGATCACTGCGCACAGAATACTATAACGGCGTTAGCCAATGGGGTGTGTGTGCGCGCACAGTGACAGCATAACAGTAAGAGAGAGCGTACGTACCTTTAGGGTTTACCTTTGTATTTATAGAGGTTACCTGTGGGTAGTATGGATGGGCCTTCGGTTCATCTGATGAGGGTCCAGGCCTGATAGCTATGCTGTCGTATTAGGATTAGTATCCTTATTGGATATCTATCCTTTATTGGTATCAATCCATATATTGGATTGCCCCTTGTTGGGCTTGCTACTTAATGGGCCCATTATACGGGTCCATAACAGATAGGATAGAATTAATTATGAAATACAGACAAAATTAACGATGAAGTACCGACAAAATTAAAAACATTTGCCCTTCCGAAATCGTGGGACAACTATTTGTGTAGGTAAAATATTTGTCCTTCCGAAGCCGCGGGACAACTTTTTGTCCAGCTACACAAAACATATAAAACCACAATTACTTTATTCACTTGACAATTATCTCAATCGATTCCAACATCCCATTTTCCTGGACTCTTGCAATGGCACGACAGTTGTAAAACACACTGCCTTCACTCGAACAACCACAACAACTCACACCGCTACCTTCCCCAATCCTAAAACAACAAAAATCTTACATACACAAACTTTTGGGTCAATAGAAAAAACCTAAGTCGAATTGAATCTTAATTGTAAACCTCTTTGCCTTTCCAAAAGCCTTCACATTTCACAATCATATATTTATCATCGAAACCCTCTGTCTTAGAAAACCTATATCTAATTGCATGTTAAATCCTTCTCTGACATCACCCCAACACCCGATTATCAAAAGTTTAATCATAATTATATAAACATTATTATGATCACCAAATTATAGCTAAATTTTGTTTTTTTGTTTTTTATTTTTTAATTGGCACGATAATTTGAGAGGACGAAAAAAAAGGAAGGGGAGTATAAACTTAGTAGTGGAGAATAAATGAGAGGTAAAGAGCACATAATCAATGAGTTAAAAATTGAGAAGTCAATGAGTAGGGTTAATTTTGAATCAACGTTGATTATAATGGTACATTTAATTTGCTTAAAAACAAAGCACACGACATGATAAAACTCTTTGTCTGACATTTGATGTTAAAAATAATTGTGGATAGGACAAAATTAATGATGAAGTACCGACAAAATCAAAGTTATTTGCCCTTCCGAAACCATGGGACAACTTTTTGTCCAGCTACACAAAACCATAATTACCCTGTCCACCTAACAACTATCTCAATCCATTACAACATCCCATTTTCTCGGGCTCTTGCGGTGGCACAACAATTGTAAAGCCCACTGCCTTCACTCAAACAACAACTCACACGTTTACCTTCCCCAATTTTGTAACAGCAAAAATCTTACATACACATGTTTTTGGTTCAACATAAATGAATCTTAATTGTACTCTTTTTACCTTTCCAAAAGCCTTCACATTTCACAATCATAAATTTATCATCAAAACCCTCCGTCTTAGAAAACCTATATCTAAGTGCATGTTAAATCTTTTCCTCGCAATGACTCCATCACAGCTTCTCCGACATCACCCCAACAACCGATTATCAAAAGTTTAATCATAACTATATAAACATTATTACGATCACCAGATTATAACTAAATTTTAAATAGAATTTAAGACAATCAATGAAATGAAAATTTAGAAATAATAAAAATATTATTAATTAAAGAAAAAAATAACTACAATTTTTAAATTGATTCGGTTCATAATTCGATTCAATTATTTTAAATTTGTTGCACACCTTTAATTAAATATTTTTATTTTATTTTTTAATTGGCACTATAATTTGAGGGGACGAAAAAAAATAAGAGGACTATAAACTTAGTAGTGGAGAACAAATGAGAGGTAACATAATCAATGAGTTAAATATTGAGAAGTCAATGAGGTGGATTAATTTTGAATCTACGTTGATTATAATGGTACATTTAATTTGCTTAAAAACAAAGCACACGACATGATAAAACTCTCTGTCTGACATTTGATGTTAAAAATAATTATGGATAGGACAAAATTAACGATGAAGTATTGACAAAATCAAAGTTATTTGCCCTTCCGAAACCATAGGAACTTTTTGTCCAGCTACACAAAACATACAAAACCATAATTACTCTATCCGCTTGACAACTATCTCAATCGATTCCAACATCCCATTTTCCTTCACTCTTGCAATGGCACGACAGTTGTAAAGCTCACCGCCTTCACTCGAACAATCACAACAACTCAAACAACTACCTTCCCCAATTCTAAAACAACAAAAATCTTACATACCCAAACTTTTGGTTCAATAGAAAAAACCCAAGTCGAATTGAATCTTAATTGTAAACTTCTTTTCCTTTCCAAAAGCCTTCACGCTTCACAATCATATATTTATCATCGAAACCCTCTGTCTTAGAAAACCTAGATTTGATTGCATGTTAAATCCTTTCCTCGTAATGCCTCCATCACAGTTTCTCCGACATCACCCCAACACCCGATTATCAATAGTTTAATCATAAATATACAAATATTATTACGATCACCAAATTATAGCTAAATTCTAAATAGAGTTTAAGACAATCAATGAAATGAAAGTTTAGAAATAATAAAAATCTATTAATTAAAGAAAAAATAAGTAAATTTTTTAAATTGATTTGGTTCATAATTCGATTCAACTATTTTAAATTTGTTGCACACCTCTAATTAAATTGCTTTTTGTTTCTTAATTGGCACGATAATTTGAGGGGACGAAAAAAAGAAGAAGGGGACTATAAACTTAGTAGTATAGAACAAATGAGAGGTAAAGAGCAAATAATCAATGAGTTAAAAATTGAGAAGTCAATGAGTTGGGTTAATTTTGAATCTACGTTGATTATAATGGTACATTTAATTTGCTTAAAAACAAAGCATACGACATGATAAAACTCTCTATCTGACGTTTGATGTTAAAAATAATTGTGGATAGGACAAAATTAATGACGAAGTACCGACAAAATCAAAGTTATTTGCCCTTCTGAAATCATGGGACAACTTTTTGTCCAGCTACACAAAACAAACAAAACCATAATTACCCTGATCCCCCAACAACTATCCAATCCATTACAACATCCCATTTTCTCGGGTTCTTGTACTGGCACAACAATTGTAAAGCCCATCGCTTTCGCTCAAACAACAACTCACACTGTTACCTTCCCCAATTCTGAAACAACAAAAATCTTACGTACACATACTTTTGGTTCAACATAATTGAATCTTAATTGTAAACCTCTTTGCTTTTCTAAAAGCCTTCACACTTCACAATCATATATTTATCATCGAAACCCTCCGTCTTAGAAAACCTAGATCTGATTGCATGTTAAATCCTTTTCTCGCAATGCCTCCACAGCTTCTCCGACATCACCCCAACACCTAGTTACCACAGTCGAAATATGATTAGGGTTTAAACATATAAAGGGTATAATATTAAAATACTACCCTATATATATTTTTAATACAAAAAAAAAACAATTTACAACATAAAAAGTATTATAGTAAAAAAAAACTATTAATTTGTTCAGTGCTTGTGTGCTATGCATATCAAACAATATACAACATAAAATTGCTTGTACTATCATTCAATTACCAAACAACACAGAACAAAAAAGTTACGCTGTACCTCACCTAGATATATTGTCCCTATTATGGGCCCAACTTGAGGGCTCATATTACAGAAAGTCCAATAAAGGCAAACAATTAAGAGAGAAATAAATAAAAGATTCTTAAAAGATATTAATTCTAGTGTGATAATAGTGGATCAACTATTTGATTCCCAAAATTCATCAAATGTGTAAAATTTTACTATCCACAGATAAAATCTTCATGTACGCACACTTACTCTCTCCATTAGTTGTCATTGTGCACACACTTCATGTCTTGAGTCTTCCTCCATTATTCTTCGTTTCAGCATTTTGTTATTATAACGCTTTCTTTCCAAAATATTATCTGCAAAGTTTGGAATAAAATTTTATGAAATTAATCATTACATCTTTTAGCAGTTTTCTTTTAGATAAAATCTTTCTTTATTTCGGTAATATTTCGGAATTGATTTTTATATTTTAACTCTTTTTATGTTTAATTCTTTTTTAATTTTGTTATCTTTTTGTATTTTTTTTTTATGAATGAAGCTGAAATTTAAATGTTATTTTTTATGAATGGAATTTGCATTCAAATATTATTTTTGTGCACAAATATTAATTTTCATAATCCAGGATTTATGATTTTTTTAATTTCTTTATAATCTTAGGTAAGATCTCGATGTGAACAAATTTTGAATGTCATCATTAACTAAAAATATTAAGTATAGTACTTTTATATTTGGTTTGAGTAGCCTTTCCGATAGATATAATTCATTTCTGAAATCGGCATTGGACGCTAAAACTCGAGTTTAGTGATGCCAGTGAAATTAAGAATGCTAGCTGCAATAATTTTAAATTGGTAATAACCTTTTTTTTTATACAAACTAATTGGAACTATGCTAAAATTACCCGTATGGCGCAGTCAAATTACAACCGCAATCGGACTGTCCTGCTGAAAGCTGAAGAAAATTCAAGGGAAAGCAAAATGTTTTATGAGTTCATACCTCTTATTTGGCTGAAATTGTACACGAAAATCCTTAACGAATGAGCCTTAATTTTATTATTCTGTTATTCATTTTTCAAAAAAAAAAAAAAATCAATATCCTTTTTTTTATGCTTTGGTGAAAGTGTAGACTTTATTGTTTTCCTTACAAAATAGAATATATTTTTTTTACGTTGAAATTTATACTTGTTTTTAAGTCAACCAAGACAATGGCCTTTGAACCATCTTATGTGTTTGTCTGTAACCCAAATGATGCTTTCATCCCCAACTTGTCGTATGTGTATATGGTTTGATTCCTGGTACCTTCGTGCTAATGGGAAATGAATGATCCTAAGCATTGCCCGTCTACGAAGCAAAAGCAAGTCCCCTTCCCCTGACCCTATAATTTATTTTACATTCAAAATAACTTATACTTAAAATTTTATTAAAAAAAGCTTTTAAAAAATAATTTATTTTAAATTTAATCTGATTCAACCATGTATGTAAAGAACCACTTCAATCCAAGACCCTTAAAGGTGTTAGGTGAGGATCTTTTTAATGATTTATATTACACTCTAACACATCCCCTCACGCAAGAACCCTTTGGGCTAGAAGCGTGATATTGGACAGACTCAATTTTTAGTTTATCTTTTTGTGCTTTTTATTTTATTATTTTAGAAGTGTGATATTGCACAGGCTCAATTTTTTATTTACCTTTTTGTGTTTTTTATTTTATTTTAATTTCGCTTTAAAGTAGAGACGGTGATGATCTTTTTAATGATTTATATGCACAATCCTGTTACATAATAAAATGCAACTCAAAAGATATGCCAACTTAGAAGAGATGTAGTCGGCTAAATACAGTGACCCTATTAACTTATTTTCTGATATGATATAAGCTATATAATCAAAACTTGAATATTTTGACTGCAAACAGGGAAACTTCTCGAAACATATATTTTGATAATATATAATATTTACAACTAAAAATACACTGATACCATATTACCATGAACTAATTAAATTCTATACATTCATATATTGTATCTCTTCATATTCTACTTCTCATTTCTTCCTTGGTATAATAGTCCCTCTCTCTCCCTTAAAGATTGGTCTTCTGGTCTCATGTGATCTGCTGGGATTCCAATAGTACCGCACAATTGTTCATGCTTTTTGCACTATTGATTGCACCGATTTCTTATTCAAGATTCTTTCAAGCTTTATCTTGTCCGGTTCCCTTTGTCTGTTTAATTCACCAGAGCTTATTAGGGAGTGTTTGTTATGGAGATTTTGTTTAAAATGATGGAGAAATGAGGTGGGGAATGTTTTTTGTCAGGGTTTGGTATACGCTATCGTGATTTATTGCCAGCAAAAAAATTCTTCCATTAATCTCCATTTGCAGTAAGCAGTTGAAAAAAACTATCTCCCCAAATTTATGGTATTTATTTTTCCCCATTTACTCTGATTCAGATTGTAATAAATTCAGGTTAGAAAATGTAGGGACAATGGCGGCTCCTGACTTTTGGGTAAAATATGACTACTACTGACGTTTGCAGATGCTGGGTTTAGAGCTGCAATATTCAAAATTTATAGGTAAATTGATAATTTATGTTAACTTTTCCTTCAATATTTTATAATTAACTAAACGCGTCATTAGTAAAATTAAACATATTTTTTCGGTAAAATTTTGATCTACCAAATAATTTTTCGTTACTTTTCAGGGCTAAATTATTTCTCATCATATTATCAGAAATTTTTATTTATTAGGCAAAAAAAATACCTCTCGTACCAAACGCCACCTTAAATAATTTACGTCCATTCTACTTGGTAAGAAAAGTATCACCTCGCCCGTGTAACAAAATCCGAAGCCAACTCTGCTACATTATATATTGAGATTTGAGACACAAAAGTGTGAGCAAATTTTTGTGAGTTTATACACCGCGGAATCTGGAAGACCCCATTTGCTTCAAGGCTGAAAGGGCTAATAAAAGATGCGTTTTCAGCTTTCACGCGATTTTGACACTAGTGACGAGTGAATAGTCATGTGTTTGCCTCTGGATCATAATTTTGCTAAACCTTTTTTTTGTTTTTTTCATAATGTATCCTCTCTTGACAATTTTAAGTTAACAAGGCAACGGTGTGAACACAAAATTCAAGTTCTCTTGCAAGGACACTCTGTATTATAATTTTACACAGGTGACAGGTAGTTAACTCCAGAAATCGAAAATTATACTTCTCAAGCAGGGACTTGTCAAATTGAAAGCTTTCCTAAAGAGAGAAGTTGTTTAATTTTGATTGAATATCAGTCTTAAACTCTTCTTTGATACTATATATTATGGTTGAGGTTATTTACCTACCATCATTTCTCTCTCTCTCCTCCTCCTACTGAGATTCTAATCTTATAATGTTTGAAGAGTGATAAATAAAAATAGACAGAAAAAAATAGTAGGTAAAATAACATATCCCATATATTATTATTATTATGCTTGACATTATTAAGTAAATTAATTATGTGATGGATTAAAATCCTTTTAATGATTAGACATAAAACTATTGAAAATTAGTATAAGAAAGATTCACATGCAAAAACAGATATAAATAGGGTGGGTGCGTTATTTATGAAATACAGGGGAAAAACTGGTGAACCTACTTAAAAAAATTAACAAAACACAGTTTAGCGTCCCTCCTTCCTGCCTCTTCACTAACTCTAGCTTCTTCTCTCCAAGAAGCAAGAACCACCTGAAAACAAGAAATTGAAAATATTCTCCGAGAAACGCATCATCAATCAAGTGAACCAGAAAACAAATGGGGGGAGCCAAAAGCAAAAGCAGCATTATTGGCTTAGCATTCTTGATATGTTACAGCACAATCTTATCCTGTTGTTCTGCTCAGCAACAGCAAGGTAACTAACTCACTAATTAACTCTTAATTATTATTTAATTTCGTCTTGGTGATTAGAAAGTTTACTTACAAGTTAAAGAAAGTGACAAGTGTGGTGTGGTATGGTTGTGGTTGAGGTTAGACACAGAGCCGAATTACCTGAAGATGGTGGTGAACGCGAGCGAGCTTCCATTGGAAGATTACTACGATTATATAATCGTGGGTGGAGGCACCGCGGGGTGTCCATTGGCGGCCACACTGTCGCACGCGTATAAAGTTCTTGTGCTCGAACGAGGAGGTGTTGGCCATGACAAGCCCAACTTGATGACCCAAGAAGGGTTCTTGACAACACTCTTGAACGCAAACGCAAACGCAAACGCTCACGACTCTCCTGCACAAGCTTTCACTTCCGAAGATGGGGTTCCCAACGCTCGTGGGCGCGTTCTTGGTGGCAGCAGCGCCATCAATGCAGGGTTCTACAGCCGAGCCGATCATGATTTCTTCACGAGGTCTGGCTTGACTTGGGACATGAAGGTTGTCAACGAATCCTACGAATGGGTCGAGAGAGAAATCGTGTTTAGACCACAGCTCAAGACATGGCAGTCCGCGGTTCGTGATGGGTTGCTCGAAGCAGGGGTTGGTCCTTACAATGGTTTCACATTAGATCATGCAACTGGTACCAAGATTGGTGGTTCCACCTTTGATAACACTGGAAGAAGACATAGCTCTGCTGATCTTTTTAGATATGCGAAGCCATCGAATATCAATGTGGCTGTTTATGCTAGCGTTGAGAGGATTCTTCTTGCTGGTTCTTCTGCATTTGGGGTCCTTTACCGTGACCAATTGGGAAGGTATCATCATGCAATCGTGAGGGAACACGGTGAGGTTATTCTCTCCGCTGGTGCAATCGGAAGCCCTCAGATTCTTCTTCTCAGCGGTATTGGTCCAAGGCCTTATCTTTCTTCATGGGGTATTCCAGTATCTCATCACCTTCCCTATGTTGGTCATTTCCTCTATGATAATCCTCGTAATGGAATCACTATTCTCCCCTCAGTTCCACTCGAGCATTCACTCATACAAGTTGTGGGCATTACTGATTCTGGTGCTTACATCGAAGCCGCATCCAATGTCATTCCTTTTGCATCCCCTTCCCAAACTGTCTTCATCCGCACACCTTCTTCCCCACTTTACCTCACAGTGGCCACCCTCATTTCAAAGATTTCGGGACCAATCTCGAGTGGTTTTCTCAGACTGGCTTCCACGGATGTCAAGTTCAATCCTATTGTCAGGTTCAATTACTTCAACAACCCGGTTGATGTTGAACGCTGCGTGAATGGCACCAGAAAGATTGGTGATATACTGAGGAGTAGGGCAATGCATGATTTCCAATTCAGGAATTGGTTAGGGGGACAAGACTTTAGATTTGTAGGGCCTGCAATGCCCATTGACCTATCAAACTATGTTCAGATGGCTGATTTCTGCCGCAGGACAGTGAGCACCATATGGCACTACCATGGAGGCTGCGTCGTGGGTAGGGTGGTTGATCCTGATCTTAAGGTCATTGGAATTTCCTCACTTCGTATTGTGGATGGATCAGTGTTCAGTGTGTCCCCAGGAACCAATCCTCAGGCCACATTAATGATGTTAGGACGGTAAGTTTGTCTTTCTCAACCTCACCTTCACTTGCATCCTTTCAGGATAATATGTTAGTTTTAAGGAAAATAACAATCTTATTGTCCTGTTTTGGCAGGTATTTTGGGCTCAAGATAATAAAAGAAAGGGAAGGACAGAAATGATTGTTCACACCTGCACTTCTATTTTGCTATTCTACTAATAGGAGATTACCTTTTGGTTTTTTGGTACTAGGACTGTATTGATTCTTGATGTTCAACTTGGATCCTTAATACTCTTAAGTAAAATGACGCACAATTTAGCAAATAACACTGCTAGTAGCAACTGTAACTAATGGGGGTGGATTAGTAATGATATTTTCCCCTCACTGTTGATTAGATCGGGTTCTTAGCTGAATAATGCCGAGTTGCTAACAATCAAGGCATGCCCAAGTTTCTATGTTTTTTGTCCCTTCGATCTACTTGTGTTATAATGACATTTTGTTATACTATATTCATGCCTTCTTTTCTTTTTCTCTTAAGGTCTTTTGCTTTCGTTTAACTGCAGCCTGTTTGCATTTGAGAAAGTATTGGTTTAGAGGTTACGCTGAAATTTATAGTAACCATGGTAATAGAAATGTACAATGAACCTAGAGAAAATGACATTAACTTCTCTATGAATTAAAGAGAGATATCTAAAGTACTCAAGGTCGTTGCCAAAAAATCCTCAGTCCAGGGTGGTGGGGTTGTTCTACTCACTGAGCATCAATTAGAATGTTGGAACGACTCTTTGTTTAGATAATAAAGCATTATGCAAACTCTTGATCTTACACCCTATCATTTTAGTTGGTTTTATACTTCATAAAGCATTACTCATGCTTGAAGTAGCATGTGACAGCAAGCTTCTACATATAACCCAGTTATTTGGTAATCTCCAAACTGCTAGTACGATGAGTATTTTATTTATTTATTTTTTCATTATGACCAACCCTGTTATTGCAATTCAATTCCTTTGCATGGGACCTTCAATGCCTCCAGATATTTAACAATGGAAGCTTAAGCTGAATTACTCGTTTACTTACATTAAGCATTCTATTAGTTATAAACTCTAATTCTGATTTTCACCTCTGATAAAAGCAAATTTACACCATGTATAAAAATAAAAAGTTAGTTATATTAGTTAAGAGATTAATAATAATTGCTAAATCTTCTCGAATTTTTTTTTTTGTCTTTCTTTTTTCTCTTCTTTAAAAATTAAGACGATTGTGAAGTTTTTTTTATTTAAAAAAAGGGTATAAAAACGGGCCTAAGCCCAAGAAAAACAACCAAAGCTAATAAGAAATTACACGGAGAAAGGAGGTCCACTAAACAAGCTCTGAAAAATAGTTAACTGACTCATTCAGATGGGGCCACTTCGACCTAGACCAAATCTGACAGAGTATCTTTTCGATCAATATTTTATTAATTCCGTACAGGAAACCTATTGCTTGTCAATATTTTTCAATGTAATAAATTTATTTTTTAAAAAATTTTAATTAATGAGAATTGATTAATTTTGACAACTTAGTTTTAGATTAATGGAAAATAAATTACGCTGTTACTATTTGTCAATTGGGCTTTATTTTTTCAAATAAAAAAATAATGGTATCTTTTATGTGATTGTTATGAGGTAAAAAGTGAATTACATTTCGAGCCAGTATATAGACTGGCTAGGCCTAAGACCAACTTTCAACTAGGCCAAGTGGTGTTAAAAAAAATTAAACTTGAATTTTATTTGCACTCCGCATTTTATTAAGTTATTTGAGTCTGCCTATTAACCTTGACCCACTTTACAATTCTACATGAATGATACATAGAGGATGATGGTGTGTTTGGTATAAGAGTATCACAAGAATTAGAGGTAAATTTTTTTTGGTAATCGTCAATTATCATATTTGGTAGAAGTATTAAAAATTAATTCTCTGATATCCAAGGTTTAGCGGTAAAGTATTAAAAATCAATTCTCTGATATCCAAGGTTTACCGGTAAAGTATTTTACAAAGAAAAGTTACTATTATGATTATCAAAAATTAGGTGATTTTCATGATTACCGGGGGAAGGGAAAGCAGATCAACATATTTTTGAGACAATAATACCCCCAACACATATCAATACCCGTTGAAGAATATGTTTTGAAAGGTTAAGGTTAGTTTTGTAAAATCATCATATATTACCAGTAATATTTTACTAACAACCAAACATATACTCAGTAAAATTATTAAAAATTTCCGATAATATTTACGTTTACCAAACAACTTTTTTATATCTTTCTCGTTAAATTAGATTTCTTTCTATATTATTGGAAATTGTGATTCAAAAAAATTTCTCTTGTACGAAACACACTGAGGGAGGCATTTGGTTGAGGAATTTTTTTTGGAATAGTAGGAAAATGTAATAGATAGAGAAATGATTGGAAAGATAGATAAAGTGAGATAGGTAGAAAAATGTAAAAAAAAGTTGTTTGGTGGGAAAAAACTTTACTGAGAAAATTATGTAACTTTATGAAATCAACAGTGCATTAAAAGCCAGATAACTAGTTTTTCGAAAAATTCCACCTTCAAATTAGATTTCTAAAAAGTGCGAATATCTATGTTTCTCATAAATCCAGACAAATTGGATAGATGGGTTTTTGGTGAAAATACATTGAAACAAACATGTGTTTCTAAAAGCCATACTTAAGAAACATAAATATCCCCTGAAAAGCTCCCAACCAAACACCACGTGAAAGAATTCACGGATCATATCGTCGAGTTAAGCTTCTCATCGGTTGAAGAGAAATCTCACCACACACACAATTGACCTGATCTAAGTAGTACTTGAAAATTGATTGTGACGGGATGTGCTTAGCTATTATGCGAAATGGGTATGCGGGGTAGTTGAATTAGTGTCAGGGAGGTTTCGCAGAGGAAATTTTTTTATTTATCTCAAAAATAATTATTGTAGAAATGTAGTATGAAATATAATTTTATGGAAATGTTAGTAAAATGTATTTGATATGACCAAAAATTTTTCGGAAATTTATGATTACAATTATTGAATGTATGTTTGGTTGATTGTTAAATATTAATAGAAATGTGAGATTATTTTACCAAAATAATCCTTACTTTACCTTTTGTTTATAGATAGTACATCTAAAAGTAGAGTTATTTTCATCCATAATATTTTGGTACTTTTTTTACTTTTCGAGCAAAACAGTATATTAACTTATCGATAGAGAAATTTGCATAAAGTCTATATTATCTTTTACACATTAACTTTGAATTACGGACAAAAATGTTATCTGGAAGAGTGTTTCTTTCTTGCTACCAAATGTCCGCTTCAAATTCTCCACACCCAACTTTATAGGGAAAATTAAAAAAAATCTGGATAACAAACGCAGCTTAGAGAAATTTGTGTTTGAGTGAGTGAACTTTAGATATTTGTACAGCCTTTTTAATTCACGCATAGTGGAGGCTTATGGGGTCCGTCTCACCTAACACCATAAAAAGACATTGGGCATGGAAAGTCCAATTAGGAGGCTTGTCAACAATCACATTAGATCAGCTTATCTGTATCTTTCATATTCTGTAATCCAATCCAATAGTACTTCAGTGACCAATAATATTATTACCCTCCCCCTCCTCCCAACTACAACTACAACGATTACTTCTTTTTATTATTATAGTTATTATTATTATTATTATTTAAAGCAAGCAATCACCAACTTAATACGTTTTTTTTTTTTTTTTACTTTTTTTATGAATTTATTTTAAAAAAAATCCTAAAAATATATATAATTGCTTGATTAGCAAAAGACCCACTTAAAAACAACTGTAATTAATTTATTAAACTTGCTACTCGTTTTTAATTTTCTATAGGCGATTTTTTGTAAATAATCTTTGTGCTCATGAACTAAAAGGGTCGTTGCTCTTGTTTTCGAGGAAAGGGTAAACGAATGTAATTTTTTACAGTTTATTTTAATACTCTTAAAAATATCATATTATTTATATTATAATTTTATGTCAAAACTTACATATTAAGTAAAAAATATTAGCTATTTCATATTTGTAAAAGTTATAGTTTAAATACATATTCATAAAATTATAATTTACATATTCACTTTTAATATATAATTTTATTTCTTAATATGTAATTTAAAAATTATAATATGATTTTAAAAAATATCAAAACGGATTCTCATTTTAATTGTAAAAATAAAACACTAGTGTACTGTACTGTCCTAAATGTCCTCGTACGAATATTCGTGGTTGTCTTTCTTTCTTACTTTTTTTTGCGTTCCCAGTTCATTGTATCAACTATCAACCGTCTGTTGTCGGCGTCGCTATCGACGGGAACGTTAGTTGACTATTCAATTTAGGGCATGGGAAATTTTTATTTAACTTGTACGATGCTGTAAATGTGGTATAAAAATAATTTTAGGGTAAAACAATTTTTATATTAAAATTATGATTTTATTGTTTTGTTGGAATTTATATATATATATATAAATTGTATAGACAATCTATTGGTTATGAATAAGAAGTTTGGTAGTGAAAATGTGTGCCTTTTCGTCGACAAACAGACGTATCTTTTCATCCTAAAGGATGTGTTGTTTCATCCTAACGGACATGTTGTTTTATCGTAATAGACATGTTGTTTCATCCTTGAATGAGTGTCTTTTCGTGTTGAACGAATGTGTCTTTTCGTGTCGAACGAATGTGTCTTTTCGTGTCCAACGGATGTGTTGTTTCGTCGTCGAATATGTGCCTTTTGGAACGTGACTTTACGTTGTCTATAAATAGACACTAACACCTTCAGAAAATGGATCCAATTTTTCCTGCACTGAAACTCTGCCGGAATTTTTCTCCTTCCGGTTTGCATATTCTTGTTCATACTCCGGTGTGATTTCCTCTGGCATTTTGTTGTGTTCGTTTGGGCTGTTGACTGGTAGTGCCGCCACTCTTCAGACGAAATCCGTTCTATCCTGGGAGACAAATGTCCATCAACCTTGGGTATCAGTGAGGGGGCAAATTGTCTTAAGGAGACACGTTCTGTGGACTCGGATTTTATTCATCTGATACTGCATTTTTCATTCTTCTGACTCTGTCTGTTTCACACATATCAAGTAAGTCTGTTTTTAATATTTTTAATTGCACAGTGATAATTCTGATCATCTACTTCCTTCTGGTTTATTCATGGGTTCAAGCCTCTTAGTGATTTAATATCACCCATTGTCTTCAATAACATATTTAACTACAAGTCTAGTAGTTTTTATATTATATCGAAAAATAAAAAATGTCAGATACTAATTTCTTAAAATATCATAAAATTGGTGAAGTTATAGTTATGCTTACTCTATCACCGGTCATTCGACAAACAATTACATTTGATTTAATATTCAATAAAATTGTCAAATGGGTATTAATGTAGGATTGACCTGGTGCTATATTTATAATTTCCTTTTTTTCCCCTGATATTTAAAAGTTATAAGATAATAATTTTTACCAGTAGATGACTTCCCCAGTTGGACTTCTTCAGGTGTTAATGGCTCAAGTTGACTTTAGCTTTGATCTTAAAAAATTAAATTTGTGTTTAAATATATCAGTTTGACCTAGCCTATTATTTGTTATGAATATAATTCTTAATCTGTGGTTTGACTTATTTATAAAAAATAAAAATCTAATTTAGTCTGTTAAAAAAATAATAATAAAAAGTTATCCAAACAAAATATGCGATCAACAACACTAATAATTTCAAAAAGTTTCTTAAATTTAATATATATCTAAACAACATAATATAGAACAAAATTATTCAAAAAACTTATTTAACCAATAAAACGGAGTGAAATGGGTTGAGGAGGGAGAGAGAGCTATTAAGAGTAATATAAAAAAATAAAATGGAAATAAAAGTTACTATATTAAGTCAGCTTGAGAGACTTTAAGGTCGGACTTTTGAATTAGAGTTTGAGATCTTTTTATTAAAAGAGTTTTTATACAAATTCAAGTCTAATTTTAACAATCAATTTTAAACATGTAAACTCAAGTCTTCACGAGAGACAGATCAACGTCCCTGATTTGTTTAGCACCTCTGTTATTCACGAGTCCCACATGTCAATGATTAACAACAAAACAAAATTGAACACTTTTTTTTTTTTTTTTGGAGACGCACCTTGTTTAATTTTAAATTATATAACTGAAGATTCCCTGTTTGTATTGCTTGCAGATTGCCCTACCATTTACTTAACTTTTTTCGTTTTTTGCATGTGCACTTAGCTTTGTATCAATGATTGCTTGGCAACAATGAAAAAGAAAACTTAAGACGCATCCAGTCAATAATATAATATGATAAACTTATTGACAAAAAGCTAGGTTAAGGTGGGTCTTCAAAATCAACGAGAGAACCAACAAATGAAGTGATATCACCCAATTGATTATTGAATGTATCTACCACAATTTTCCAATGAGAGGAACTTGAATATAGGAACTCTTACTAATTTATGATGAGTGGAAATGTGGAATACCATATTTGTAGAGCCAATTCAGATACACTGTTCTTGTTAATTTCGTAAGTAGTTTATAGATTTTAATATTAGAGATTACATATTTCCCAAATAAAATGAAAACGGCAGGAATTTTGCTTGAACTTTTTTTTAAATATATTAGTGAGAATTCAACACATAATCTACTATAAATTATTCAAGCCTCTTACCTTTAGACAATATCTAGTGGCTTGAAGTTATTTTTTATTCATACCACTTTTCTCCCACACAAAGCCTTACCTATTTCTCTTGTTTGTTAGTGTGATTTGGTGAATTGGAGCTTCCATTTAACAAATTAAAAATGGAAATTCTAATGAATTAATGATTTTATTGTTGAGTAAACCTTCGGTACCATCATAGTATATATATCATTTCCCAAATAAAAAAATAAAAAAGGAAATAAACAAAAAATATAAATTTAACTGGTATAAAATTTTTCTGATCTGGGAAAAAAGGAATACCCGTATTAAATATTTTTTTCCTCATCCTTATCCACCAACCCCATTTACTTTCTAGAAAAAAAAGAGAAAAGAAATTATTTAATTCTTTTAACAATTAGCATGAGAAAATAAAAGGAAATAAACAAAAAATATATAAATTTAAATGGTATAAAATTTATCTGATTTGAGAAAAAAGAATACCCGTATTAAAAAAGGAAATGATAGTCACATGCTACATAAGATATCTATCTCATGTCATATACTTATAGAATTTTGTGCCAATTTTTTCTTTTCTTTTTAAATTGTGGACACCACATATTTGTATCACCCACACGAGAGTACTATCTCATGTAACATGAGATTAGTAAACCCCATTAAAAAATTTCCCTTATCCTTACCCACCAACCCCATTTACTTTTTCTTTAAAAAAAGAAATTATTTATTTATTTTTGATAAGGGTTTTATTACTCTCATTTTACATAAGATAAATTATCTTATGTTGTAGAGAGAAAATGAGTGAGTCCCACCATTACAAAAAAATAGAAAAAAAAATGGGCTACAGAAATCGAAGTGAACATGAGAGAAAATATAATATGTTATGTGAAAAGAGAGTAATATTTCCTTTTTGATCAACCACATATATCCTCTATTAGAGGCAATATTGTTCAGGTTGGTCCAGAATTAGGATTAAGGCTTTAAATCTCTTCTCAAAGATGATATCAGAAAGATCAAACACATATTCTCACCTCAACTACTAAATTTTTATACATTAACTGAGCTACCATCATTTGATTATTATTTAAATTCTTTTAACAATTATCATGAGAAAATTCCGCCACCAAAGCATCATGCCAAGAAAAATCTCCTTTTTGAGCGCAACACCTCGTTTATTGGTTTATATATAGCCAAAATAAATGAATGCCTCTTAAACATTCAAAATTTTGGTTTAATAAAGAACCATCGAAAGGAACAGAAAAAACAGAGAAAGCATCTCTATGGCATCCTCTGCTTGTACCAAACCCATCTTCCCCTCCACCTTCACTTTCTCTTCTTCAGATTGCACGTCAAAGTCTTCTCATGTCTCATTCATCTCCACACCCATCTTCCGTAAGCTCTCTCATTCTAGCTCGAACCATTCTCCACGTTCCTTGGTGGTCAACAATGTTGTGAAAACAGTTGACCCGACACAAACCTCTGTGTCGAGCTCCAGCTCCTCCAAGGATGTTGGGTCTCTGAGTCCAAAGCCCACGATCTTGGTCTCCGAGAAACTTGGAGAAGCTGGCCTCCAAGTGTTACGTGGATTTGGGCACGTGGAATGCGCGTACGACCTTTCACCGGAGGAGCTTTGCACAAAGATCTCAAGTTGTGACGCTTTGATTGTGAGGAGTGGTACGAAGGTGACAAGGAATGTGTTTGAAGCTGCAAAAGGAAGGTTGAAAGTTGTGGGAAGAGCTGGTGTGGGTATTGACAATGTGGATCTGCAAGCTGCCACAGAGTTTGGTTGCCTCGTTGTTAATGCTCCCACCGCCAACACTATTGCTGCTGCAGAACATGGGATCGCTCTCCTCGCCGCCATGGCCAGGAATGTTGCTCAGGCTGACGCCTCCATCAAAGCTGGTAAATATATCAACCTCAACCTCAACCTTTTCCTTTTTCCAACTCGATCAATTTTGACCATTTATTTATGACTTTATATTTGTGGATCTAACTATTGGTAATGGATAGTATCATCCCATGAACTTGAAAAGATATTCTTAGCCTTCTAATGGCAAATTAACAATAAATGTTGATTTGTCTATGGACCAAGGAAATTGTTTATATTTATGTTAAATAATCCATTGTCAATGTTTAATGGTTGTGTATCATTAATTTATCATTATTGTTTGTTATACTTACAAACACTTGACCACACAGGAGGGGGCTGGAATAGACATAAATGTTTCAAGTAATTAAATTATTACTAACATGTTGCTTATGATTGTAGAAACATTGACATGTATAACTGAGAACCTGTTAGTTTTTAGAGGAAACAATGTTTTCAGTTATGTTAGCTTCATCTTCTTAATTTGAATGGTTTGTTGAGGGTGGTTTTATTGACGAAGATACAATTTTGCAGGAAAATGGGAAAGAACCAAGTACGTGGGTGTTTCTATGGTTGGGAAGACATTAGCAGTGATGGGGTTTGGAAAAGTTGGATCTGAAGTAGCGAGGCGTGCAAAAGGGTTGGGAATGAATGTGATTGCTCATGACCCCTATGCACCAGCTGATAGAGCCCGTGCCATTGGTGTTGATTTGGTGTCATTTGATCAAGCCATCTCCACTGCAGATTTCATCTCCCTCCATATGCCACTCACTCCAACTACCAATAAGATATTCAATGACAACACTTTTGCAAAAATGAAGAAGGGAGTTCGCATCGTCAACGTTGCTAGAGGAGGAGTTATTGACGAAGATGCATTACTAAAAGCCCTTGATAATGGAATAGTTGCTCAGGTCAACCCCTTTGTTGGCATTTTTTTTTTTTATCTTTTATTTTAATGATTATGTCTTTTATTTTTCAGTCGTCAACAATGTTCGATATCACTTAATATGTGCCTCAAATTACTTTATCTTTTGTTACAATTGTTGCATATGAAGCAGGCAGCTCTTGATGTCTTCACAGAGGAGCCCCCATCCAAAGACAACAAATTAGTGCTGCACGAGAATGTCACTGTCACGCCTCATCTTGGAGCTAGCACCAAAGAGGCACAGGTTTGTTTTTCCTTCAGCATTTTTACATTTTCTTTTAGCTCCTACATGATCTTCTGACAAAGTTTACTTTCTCCAATTCTGACTCACCAGGAGGGTGTAGCTATTGAAATAGCAGAGGCTGTGGTTGGGGCGTTGAACGGGGAACTTTCAGCAACTGCTGTCAATGCTCCCATGGTTGCTCCTGAGGTAAACAAACATTCTAACATATTCCAATAACAATACTACGTACCTAAGAAGACTTGGTTGTTGTTGTTTTTTATTTTCCTATATTGTAGAGGCAAATCAAACATAGTTAATTGGGTGTTGTTGTGATATCAGGTGCTGTCAGAACTGGCTCCATATGTGGTGCTAGCTGAGAAGCTGGGGAGGCTAGCTGTTCAGTTGGTATCTGGTGGAAGTGGAATCAAATCTGTAAAGGTAGTTTATCGATCAGCTCGGAGCCCAGATGACTTGGACACTAGACTTCTGCGAGCCATGATCACAAAGGGCATCATTGAGCCAATTTCAAATACAATTGTCAACCTTGTAAATGCAGATTTCATTGCTAAGCAGAAAGGGCTTCGCATAAGTGAGGAAAGAATAGTTGTTGATTCATCTCCTGAGATACCTGTTGAGTCAATCCAGGTACAGATATCAAATGTGGAGTCCAAATTTGCAAGTGCTGTATCAGAGAGTGGTCAGATCAGCATTGATGGAAAAGTAAAGTATGGTATACCCCACCTGACATGTGTGGGGTCTTTTGGTGTGGATGTGAGCTTAGAAGGGAACTTAATATTATGCCGACAGGTTGATCAGCCTGGCATGATTGGACGTGTTGGAAACATTTTGGCACAACAAAGTGTGAATGTGAGCTTTATGAGCGTGGGAAGGACATATCGCAGGAAGATGGCTATTATGGCTATTGGTGTGGATGAAGAACCAAACAAGGAGGCTCTTGACAATATAGGAGCAGTGCCTGCCATTGAAGAGTTTGTATTTCTCAAGCTCTAGTTTACACACACACACGCATATATATGATGGATTCAGCCATTGAGCTTTAGGAAAGTACAATAGATATTTGATTAAAAAGAGTTTTTAAACATATGCGTTGTTTGTAAGTTGTAACTCTCTGAAGTGCTCATGCACATTAGATGATGCAGAACTGTTTTTTGCGTAGAGGTATTTTAGTGGACAACTTGAGGAAACTTAAAGCTATCGTTTATGTAATGAATGATTGAAAATAAAACTGGCTGGAAACAAATACAGCTAATTGTGTGCACCTTTTATTATTGTTGCTCACATAGAAGTACCTGATTTAGTGATTTTTTTTATTTTTTATTTTGGTAATTGCGTTCACGTCCGGGATCAATCATGGCAAGAGGTACATTGATTGGAATATAGCTAATTTAAGTTTGAGCTGGTACTCACGCACAAAGCGTTGAAAAACTACCGCAATTATTTAAAAGCGGCTCATCAACAATATAATGTACCCGGGGAGCTCATTTTTTGTGGTCCCGGACTTGGTGAGACTTGTCCAAAAGTGAAAACAAAAAGGACTGAGAAGGAATTTAAACAAAAGATAAGGGCATAAATAGAAAATAAATTTTCTTTTTTTGGTGAAGGAGCATCCAATGAAACATCCACCGGGTGCATGTTAAAAAAATTCGTACCTGGGACAATCATCAAAATATCATACTACTCATAAAAAATTATTTCAATGGCATGTATGGGAATTTTTTTTTTTAAAATGCTATCTCACCTAAGGTGTGGATATGTAATAATAGGTTCATGGTTACGTAAGTCACTGCACAGTACAATGAGATTACGTAGCAGGTAATGTGTCAAATTTGTTGTGCTGCATAGTATGTTATGTGTCAGCTTGGTGTGTTACGAGTCTAACATGTGTCCTACTAGCTATGCTACATAGCATGTTACGTGTCAGCGTGGCTATACATGATGTGCTGCATAGCATATTATGTGTAAATAGTCCAGCGTTTTTGGTCTAATAAGTTACAGGATAATTTTAATTATTGAATTTTGTATTTTAAAATAAAATGATTTAAGGAAAAGTAATATTGGTTTAATATTTTAGTTTTAAACAACTTATGTTAAAATAATTTAATTTAAGACTGCTAATTTAAGTTAAGGGTAAAGTTCATTTTGAGTCCTTAACAAAAAACAAGTTCCTCGCTTTAGTCCCTTAAAAAAAAATAGTCGTCTCATTACTATGAAATTCAAAGTGGACCCATTTTTAGTCCTTCTGAGGGACTAATGTGTGTCTTTTTTTAATTTGTGAAGGACCACGATTTGAACTAAATAGGTCCACTTTGAATTTCTTAAGGATCTCAGAATGTTTTTTTGTAAGAGACTAAAGTGAGGACCGTATTTTTTGTTAGAGACCTAAAATGGACTTTACTTTAAATTTAATTTGTGAGTGTTAATTAATTTAATTTAATGTAGAAGCGTTAATTAATTTAATTTAGTTTAGTTTATATTAAGTTAAATTATTTTTAACTGTTAAGCAATTTAATTTAATTTAGGAGTGTTAATGAAATAAATTAAATTTATGTTTGTTAATTAATTTAGTTTAATTTTGTCTATATTAATTTAAATTATTTTAGAACTGTTAATTAATTATCTTTAGGAGTTTTAATTAATTTTATATAATTTAGTTTATCTTAATTTAATTTAGGAGTTTTAATTAATTTTATTTAATTTAGTTTATCTTAATTTAATTTAGGAGTGTTAATGAATTAAATTTAATTTATTTCCGTCAATTATTTAGTTTGATTTTGTTTAAATTAATTTAAATTATTTTAGAACTATTGTTTAATTATTTCTAGGAATGTTAATTTTTTTTATAACCATTAGGAATGTTAATTAATTTCATTTAATTTAGTTTATATTAAGTTAAAATTGTTTTGAACTGTTAAGTAATTTAATTTAATTTATTTAGGAGTGTCAATAAATTTAATTTAATTTATGTCTGTTAATTAATTTAGTTTAATTTACTTTTATTAATTTAACTTATTTTAGAACTGTTAATTAATTATTTTTAGGATTAGTGAATTTATTAGACTAAAAATGCTGGACTTGGGCTACTTAAACGTAATATGCTATGCAACACCGTATGTATGGCCACGTAATATGCTACTTACACGTAAAAGAGCTCTGCTAGGGTTTCGTTTTAGGGATAAATTTTCTGGCAATGCAATTGAAAGCAAGGGGAGAAATATCATCGGAGGAAGCGGATAATCTGAAGAGAAGCAAAAAGAAGTACAAAGGGGGTGATGTATAACAACCTCACATATTTGAAATGCAATATTAAAGGTTTATTTGTTGGTTAGAAGGTTTATTTGGTGCCTGTTTGGATCCTCTCTTTTTTAAGCTAGAAGCTACTTATAAGCATAAGCTAGGTCAAACAGGTTTTAGGAAAAGCTCTTATAATGAAAAACTCTTTTTTTATAATGAAGAAAAAAGCTGAAAACTAAAAGCTCCTAGGAGGAGATTTTTTTTAAGCTCTTATCTGTTTTTCTTGAATTGTGGTTTTTTTAAAATGAAGAGTGATAAAGATAGAGAGAGAGATAATTTTCTTGAAATATGTGCTTTTAAGTAAATTTTAAGATAAATTTTTTATGTAATTTCCAAATAGCTTTTAGCTTCTTTTTTTAAGCTCTCTTTTTTAGTTTTAGCTTATAAGTAGCTTCTAGCTTAAAAATAAGAGGATCCAAACAGGCACTTAGTAAAAATCCTAAAATCCGAGTGAAAATACACACGAAGGATAAAATGGTAAATTGAAAAATACGTAACCCTATTATGTGATATGATAAAATTAGATTTAATTTGACGAAACTAATGATGGAAATGGATTTAGAATGGAATTTGGAGCGGATAGACACTTTTTGAAAAAATTAGTGAATAGTGATCGTTTAGTTTACGGAGTGGGAACGACATTCAATAGGTTGTTCCTATGGTGGGAACGATATTCAGTAAGTTATTCTCAAAAGAGAACGACGTTCCCATGGTGGGAATAATATTCAGTAAGTTGTTCCCAAAGGAGAAATTCTCATGGTGAGAACAATGTTCCTAGTTTGGGATTGTCATATAATTATTTTTGGCAAAAAAATATAAATAATGATATGTTTTGGATAAATAATGATATATTTTTATCCTTAATTGTCATTTTTAACTCATTTCCACAATGTGACTTTAATTATTTTAATTAGAATTTTATTCTAATTACTCTTCAATATTTATCATAAATTCCTTAATCCATATTTAAATCCACAATTTAATATTTGAGTCATTATATATAAAAATTATTAATGTAGCCTTGTTCAGCAGCTTAAGTTTTTGGGTTGAATCAGCTCTTTACATTGTATCAAAACCTTGAGAGGTATCCCATATTTGATTCTCACCATCTCTCATTTTCTTTGTAGAATTTTTTAGCACAGGTAGATTGAGCTTGATGCATTATTCACTTTTCAAGTTCAATAGATTTTTTTGTGCAGAAACATATTAGAGATATATAAAAACTACTAATGTAATCTCACCCAACAATTTAAGCTTTTAGCTCTTTACACTAATATTAGAAGCTACAAACAATCCATTTGTTTTCATCACTAAGATGCTTCACGCATAATAAAATATAAAGCTCAAATGTAAAACTAAAAGCATCCCTTTATGAGTTTGGGAATGACACGATACAACTTGATTCAAAAGCGACTGTTTGCCCCATCACCATTTCCCGCTGAAGGTTGAGACCGTCAGTACAAAGAAATTATATAAGACGGTTTATGCAACTGTCATCCACGTAAAATTATGCAATTTCGAGCAAGTTCATCTTCATTCATCAGAGCATGCACAAAAATGGTGCATCAGAAACTCTTCATAAAAGTTAACAGGCAGAGTTATTCCATCCGTCGTTATTTTATCTAGCAAAGTTAAAATTGATTATAACTATATAATATATATAATATATTAAAGGTAATGCTACACATAAGCATAATTTTTATTTTTTTCGCAAAACAACGGATTTTAGGTGGATTTGAGCATATAAACATTTGAAAAATGTGTGTCCTTTTAATCCATGTAAATTTATGTTATTTTAAGATAGAAATAGACAAACAGAGATATAAGTTTCACTAATTAAAAAAATAAAAGATATAATTCTCATCTCTTTATGTCTATCTTTATCTTCAAAAAATATAAATTTACGTCCTCTCCCTAAACATTATACATCTAGCATTGCCCTTAAACAACTGTGCGCGTGTTAATGCAAGTGTAAATGAAATCATAATAAGCAGAAAAGTGAGTTAGCCTAGCCCAAGAACTCACCCAATATATGCAATCTTTTTGTCTAATTCCTTAATTGTGTTGTTCACAAAATGGATGATCGTGGACTCAAATTCGCTGTCTACTTTTTTCGTCCTTCATTTTTCCCAATTAAAGCATACTAATAAATAAAATAAAAAAATCTCTGACAATATATTTTTTATTGTTAATTTTTTTTTGAGATGTTATTTTTTAATAATAAGAAGAAAAGGGGACATAAAATATATATAAGTTATTTTAATTTTTAAGTTTATAGATTTATTAAACTATTACTTAAGATGTCTTGTTATTTGATAAATGTATTTAAGCTCTGACTAATGGATTAATAATAATAACAACTAATATTGGGAATAATGGATTGGAGACTTTGGAGTCATTGACTGTAGATTTATACGGTTGAAAAAAAGGGAAAACATAAAAATTAATTTGAATAACATTTACACAAATTTTAAAAATAAATAAATCAATAGTGTGTATATATAGATAATACAAAATGAAAAAGGATTAATTTATATATGTATAAGCCTCAAATTATTTTTAAATCAATCAATAACTTTTTACTAGATGATTTTATTTCAAATTTATCGTTAGATTGAAAGTTCTTATTATATAAAATAATAATTACAACATATTATTCTAATATAAAATTATTTATTAGCTTATAAATATATATATTTTCAAAATAAAAAATATTTAATTATACTGTTATTATTATTTGGGATAGGAAATTGTGACACCCAAGTTATGTTACACCCATGTGACACCCAGTCAATCTCACCGTTAGATCGCTTATGTTGATCCAACGGTTATATTTATTTCCATCTTTGTATGGTCATGATTTCCCAAATTTAATATTTTATATTTATTTCTACCTTTGTATGGTTATAATTTCTCATATTTAATGCTTTCACTTTAAATTTGGGAAATCATGACCATACAAAGATGAAAATAAATGTAACCGTTGGATCAACATAAGCGATCTAACGGTGAGATTGACTGGGTGTCACGTGGGTGTAACATAATTTGGGTGTCACAATATCGTATCCCTTGTTGTTTACATAAAATTAAGAATAATTATTATTTATTTGCAACATTTAAAAACCCCGGGGAGTGAGGAGCGTAGAGTAGTAGATCGGTAATATTGGGGTTAGGGTTTGCGGTGTGTGTGAATAAGGGCATATGGCTGGCACCGGCATCCACCCATACCACCAACAATGGCCACCAGCAGCTGCTGCAGCTCCTCCTCCTCCTCCGCCATCTGCTGCCGCTCCTCCTCCTCACTCCACCGACGAGGTTCAACACTAACCTATTTCATTCTTCTCGATCTGTTATCATATTACTTATTCTTTATAATTGACATTCTAATCCATTCAATGTTCCACAATTATAATCGCTTTGTTTTGTATTCATCAACAAATTAAGGTGATTTGGTGTGTTTAGGTTCGAACGATATTCATAACAGGTCTTCCCGAAGATGTGAAAGAGAGAGAACTGCAGAATCTGCTGAGATGGTTGCCTGGGTTCGAAGCTTCTCAACTCAATTTCAAAGCTGAAAAGCCTATGGGTTTTGCTCTCTTCTCCGCTCCTCACCAAGCACTCGCCGCCAAAGATATTCTTCAGGAGATGCTCTTCGATCCTGAATCTAAGTCTGTCCTCCACACTGAGATGGCCAAGAAAAATCTCTTTGTCAAAAGAGGTCAACTTCCTTTTCATTTAACTCAATTCTTTATCGCTTTTGCTTTTATTGTTTATTTTCAAATGCCACAATTACACAAGGTTCACTGATTGTTTAGGTGGATTTCTGATCTCTTATTAGTTATTTCATTTGCTGAAATTAATGTATAGTAGTGAAACTGAAACCTTAGCTTGACATTCTGAAATTTATGTTGTAAGTTTTTCGCTCACTATTTGTTAACAGTTTTTCAATGCTCACTCTTTCCCACTGAAGCATGTTAATGAGCTGCTCTTCTTGTGTGCTCAAAATAAGTAGCATTGTGTCGAACCTTGTTCATTTCAGAGCATTTTTCTATATGTATCTTTATCAAGTGCATTGGAATTCCATATTCCACCCTTAAGTGCTATTACTATTCTCTTTTTAGATGTACTTATTTTGATTTCTTTATAGGAATAGGAGCTGATGCAGGTGCTTATGATCAAAGTAAACGTTTACGCACGGCTGGGGATTATACACACACTGGTTATGCGAGTCCATCTCCTTTTCATCCTCCCCCACCACCTGTCTGGGGACCACATGGGTAAATACCACCTATATCTTCACAACTTCAAAAATTTCCCAAATTAAAAAAAGAAAGCTGAAATTGTAATCACAAAATAACATTTTTCTTTTGCACGATGCTCCATATATTTTACCAAGTTCAGTATGTTTGCTTTTAGTTTGTGACAGTTTATTTGTTTTCATTTTCTTGATCCAGTTACATGGCTCCGCCACCACCTCCTCCATATGATCCATATGGTGGCTATCCTGTTGCACCAGTACCAATGCCTACTCCTGCTCCCATAGCAGCGCCTAGCAGTTATGTTCCAGTACAGGTGAGAACGAATTGAAGTATAAATAGTGCTATGGTTTCACTTGATTTCTACATCTATGATTACATCATTACTTGTTGTCTTGCAATGTTCAGCTTATATTTATAATAAATGGAAGGAGAAATTTTAAATTGTGTCAATTATGTTCTGCAATGTTTGCTTATTTAAGTTCTCTTTAGGTTGAAGAGTTTCATATCTCCGCGCTAATTGATGTATTATTATTATACAATGTTACTTATACAAATTGATGAAGTAATCTATCAGCATATTAATTTGCTCATGATTCTGTTGCTGCAAAAAAATGTTTTTTGCAGCCACACATAGAAAGGCGGATCCTGACTTTTTTTAAAAAAAAAGAAAAATGAGTAGGTCTTACTTTTTCTATGTCTTTTGCAAAAAATCCCATCTGCAGTGACTGCAGAAAAAAGGGACCCATAATATAATGTACAGATTAATGCTATATAGTAGGAAAAAAATCGTAGGTGGTTTTACCTGAGTTCTTTTCTTGCTGTGTTGTATGTTTTGTCCGGATATCTGATTGTTTTTGTATTTAATTTACTATGTTGTTTTGATTTTATTTGTTTATTAATAAACTTCCCCTTATACCTCCATTAGATTTGGTTATAAATGATAAAGTAATATAGTGTGTTTAACTTCTATTGTTCTCTACAGAACACAAAAGATAACCCTCCTTGCAACACCCTGTTTATTGGGAACTTGGGAGAGAACATTAATGAGGAAGAAGTGAGGGGACTTTTCAGTGTGTAAGTACATCTTATCCCTTTACACTGGCTCTTTTGTCCAGTTTATGCAGTATTTTCTATGCTCTCTCAAGTATGGGAATAATCTGTTGAACTTGACTTTTGGATGCAGACAACCTGGGTTTAAGCAAATGAAGATTTTAAGACAGGAGAGGCATACAGTTTGCTTCATTGAATTTGAAGTCAGTACCCTTTTGAACATATTTGTTGCTTTTAAAGTCTGACATCTTTTTCTAACTTATTATGATTAGGTTAATACTCGTGCTATGCTTTCATTTAAACTTTCCTCAATTTGGTATTCGGTGACTTATTGCAGGATATGAATAGTGCTACCAATGTGCACCATAATCTGCAGGGTGCTGTCATCCCAAGTTCTGGTTCGGTTGGCATGCGGATACAATATCCTTTTTTCTATTGTCAAGAACCTGGATGTTTTATTTGCTCTGATTTTTCCCCTTGCATATCTTCTTTCTAAAATTGACTGAGCATCTGGGGTTGTAGGACTTGGGATTACATGAATTTTATTTGCTAAAAATATTGCGTTTGTAGCAATGTACTGTACTGTGCATGTTTTCTTTTGTCTTTAATGTACCATGCATCGATGATACTAGAACCATGGGTTTCTTTCAATTATTTTTTCAATGGGGTTTCCTGACATTTTTATTTGTTTTGACACATTTTCCAACCTTTTAATCTGATATGGATACTGCTTCAAAAAGCAAGTATCAGTGCTACTTAGTCAAACTACATTGTAAATCTTATGGTTCAAGTTTTGTATGTTTTGACTGATGATTCTTTCTAGATCTCATATATGTCAATGTGTATTAAAAAAACCACCATCTACTGCATTCAATTTGGTATAAAATTAGTTGTGACTTTTCCATTGTGTTTTATGCAAGAATTTTTTTTGTGCTTTTCTTGACTTCTTAGTAGATATTCCAAAAATCCATTTGGCAAAAGAAAAGATGGCAACCTTCCCATTGCTGTTCCTAGTGCCAATGGAGCTCCACCAACCATGACTTATCAGTAGCTTGAAGGGGATGTACTCTGTTCTTTATGCTCCGACAAATATTACTACATAATAGGATGCATCTTGCAGCTGTTACATGCATCCATTGATTATCAAGTCATCGCCATTAGCATCCCTGCTCATGTGAATGAATGCACAGTGGCATCATATACATACATTTGGCTGTTATACTAATCGGACATGCATTTCTTGGCAGCATGTGTTGGTTCCCAGATTACTTTCGTAGTGTTTAGATGACGTTATCACCTGTAGAACTGATGCATGGGTCTAAATTTTGTTTGAATTGTGTGCTTTATGGTCATATATACTTCCTATGTACATTGACAGCTGGCATTGTTATCTACTTTCCACCTTTAGGTTCATCTATTGCTTCTTTGACATGACATCTTATGGTGATGCTTTGATTTTATTGCACGACTTTGCTAGGCTCTGGAGAAATAAGGATATCACACCAATGGTCATGCTGCCCTTTCCACTATCATTACCATTGTCATTAGACCACATTTTTAGCCTCTCTTTTTTCATCTGAACCCGTCATTCTTGACCCCATTTGATCAGAGCATTGATGTTGATGCTTTGAATTCAAGCTATTAAAAGTTATTTAAAGGAATCTCGGGAGTTATATATTGTCTGATTTATACAGGATTTCAATAGGACAAAGATTCCTTTCATAGTGGGGAGGTTCGTTACTGCTGCTGCCATGTTTTTGCAGGTAATTTTTGTTTACTTGGGGAAACTGCCATCAAATAAGGTTGGAACTTCTGTTGATTATATCAAGTGAAGCAGCAGGGTGCCCTATGAGTTTCTCATTAAAAAGCTGACAAAATTTGACACCGACATGTTACTTCCTAGCAAGTTTTCGAAATCTACTACTGTGGCAGAAGTTTTGTGTAGCCAAAGTGATTGGTAGGTTAAGAATAAATCCAGAGCGTAATAATGGTAGTTGGGATCCTCATCCTACTATAAATTTGATTTTCTAACTTTGGATATTTTCGCTGTTGACTCTTAAGCTGGAACATCGTTCATAATTATTTATTAAAAGTATTACGAATTTTGCCATTGAAACAGCAACCTCATCTAGTTTTTGGGGATAATACGAGGGGCATCAACTGTGATACCTCAGTTTTTCAAATCAATTCTTACTCATTATTGGTGTAGCTGCGTGAGTATTGAATTCTTGTCATCGAGCATCGACTAACAATTTAGAAGGTTATTTAGTGGGCTTTTTTTTTGCGCTGACAACGTTTTCGGTGCTTTCTGGACAACGGAATGCTCCTAGCGGCTTTAAGTTTTATTCAAGTCTTTTATACTGTGTCGCCGTAAAATATTTTTGAGAGGACTGATTATTAGTGTTTGCCTAAAGTGTGAAAGTAGGAATTTTAGTACTTGTTTGAAATTGTTTATTATGTTCTTTAATAGATGAAAAACAAAAATAATTATTTTTCAAACGATGTTAATGAGCTAAATTCCTTTTTTAGATCTTGCTAGTTGCTACGTAATCTGTCACCCTGAATGCCAGTGTGTGAGCTCTTTTTAAACGATGATATACACCAGTTTTGACCCATCGTTTGGTGAAACTAAGTTAATCTCTTTCCATTTATGTTAAAATCTTTGATTTCCATTAAGCACCTGTATTCAGAATACAAAACAAAACACAATTTTACGTTTACAAATCTGCCGGAACGCTGAAACTTCAGAGATTATAGAGTTTAAAAAGTTTATTAGAATAATAGTTTGAAAATTATTTACTAATGAGACATGATTTGATTACTTTTGACTATTTTTAACCATAGTAACATAAATTACGTTTGTAAGACTCACACAGTCAAAAATTATAAAAATATCAACTACATCACTTAGATAAATAATTTTTAAATTTTATTATTTTAATATTTTTTAAAATGATTTACATTGGTCAATTAGCCCTTAAACTTCTGCATGCATCTCGACCACTTGCAAATTAGTATCGTAGATAAAAAAGCAACTTAAAAAAAAAATCCAAAAAGCACGCTTGTTTTAAAGAATGTTTCAAGACAAGAACCAAATAATCAAGTCAACATTTACAAACAATTAAGGCCAAATTGACAGGAGGAAAAATCATTGCCAAACACCTGACTATGGAAACTTAATCTACACAAATGCAGGTTATCCCTCATTAAATTGAGGGAACACAAAAATGAAAGGGAGACTGATTGAAGGGTATGGAGAACATCAGGTGCAATGAAGAGAAAAATCTTAAGTACAAAAATCTGCCAGTAATTTCATGATAGATTGGACCGTGTTCTAATTTACAAGGATGTAACTAAACCTTAAGAACTACTATGAGATCTGACAGATGAAATTGATTGTGCAGAGACAGATGCAGTTGGGCTGTTAAGGTCCCTCTCCCCATTTATTTCCTTCGGTTTTCCACTTAGTCTTTCCATAGAATCTTGACATATTTCATTAAACCATTCATCTTCAGGTAGTTCTCTGACAACAAAAATTATATTAGACTCTCAAAATTGCAAAAACGAAGAGATCAACAGTTTCTAATGATAATGATAGAATGTTGATGGTAACCCATGACCGAAACAGAATTAAATTAGCCTACCTATATGGATCCATCCCTGTTGAAGAAAATGCTGCCATTGCTTTTGTTATAATCTCATTGACAGTTCGTTGCAAATTCCTCGACAAGTACCGCCCGTGGGAGGCAAAACATACGACAAACTTCATATCCAAATAGAACTGCACAACGTACAAAAGAAAATTATATGGCCGTGATGGACTTTGCAGCTCTCAAGGTTCCTTCATGTAAATTTTGCATCTATTAATCTTCCATGTCAGCAAATCATTAAACTAAATATGTGTTGAAATATATAGTCCCACATTGGTTGTATGTGCAACTAATGTGGAGTTTATAAGGCCTTGGGCACTCCCACCCTTTGAGCTAGCTTTTGGGGTGGTGTATCTCAAGGTTCTTTACATAGTATCAGAGCCTCGCCGCCCCCCACTTTCTCTTGTGGAATTTCTTAGCACAGGTAGGCTGGGCCTGTTGCATCATCCACTCTTCAAGCCCAATGGGCTCTCGTATGAGGGGGCGTGTTGAGATATATAGTCCCACATTGATTGTATGTGCCAACTAATGTGGAGTTTATAAGGCCTTGAGCACTCCCACCCTTTGAGCTAGCTTTTAGGGTGGTGTATCCCAAGGTTCTTTACAATATGCATGCATTTTCAAAGGTTCAAAAGAACAATACATTCAGCAACGTCAGAACATAGCGATTTTCTCCAGGTATTTCCTTGAGGTGGATGAAAGCATTCATAGTTCAATGTATAAATGAATCCGCTCTAAAAGCAGTTGAAAGCAAGACCGGAATCTAAATTGTTAAAATTGAGTAACTTGTTTCTCCAGGTATTTGATTATTGCATAGACTAACTGATACTTGTATATAAAGGAACAAAATAGCTGATGAGAACCAAGCCAATAACAACAGAAAACATAATTCAAATGGGTACTTGAATGAAAAGAGAGGCTTGTATTACTGGTATTAATCTCAAACGCACAAGCAAATCAACAGTACAAGAATAACAGTAATGGCAAGAAATTACCAGTGAAACAATAAAAGAAAATGATAGTACAGAGCAATTAGAGGCGCTCTACTCTCTCCCAAATCCCATGACCCAATTCAGATTCCAGATACCCAGACTTTCCTTTCATACTCCTATTTATTCTATGAAATTCATGCCAATGTCCACGTCCCTAACTATTTCCTGTTTAGCATGCACTAGAATATTTTTTGTTCAAACACTCCTTGCTGACTCAGCATCACTCTCCCAGCCCACTTATTTCTCTTGCTTGAAAGGTAGGGGACGTATCAATAGCTATGATACAGAAGTTGCATATAATGAAAAAATAATTAAAAGTTATTCATGCTATTGTAGCTTATTTTCATGCCTTTAAATTTGGTTTAGTTTCGATTGTTTTTATACTGTCAATTAATTTTTTTTGTATAGTTCAATTAAGTTAGAAAGGATTTATTAGTTAAAAAATATTTTTGTTTGAAGTACTGGTTGTTAGAACAGGAGGCTGGTACTTCGATCTCTAAGTGATACAAGATTTGCCTCACAAAGATTTACCCTAAATAAAATTCTCCTATTCAGATTTGCATATAAAGGCATCAATTCTTGTCTGTTTTGGTATGTAATTTTCTAGTAATTTCTTCAGTAACCAAAATTAAAGCAAATCATCTATGAAACACTAAACAAATTCCAATATCATACTTGTTGAAGTCCAAGAGGACCTAAAGGTCTTGGCCCTTCTTCAATATCATCCCAAAAGCTCTGGTCTTCTGAAAGCCACAACATAACGGTTTCCGTAAGTCTCATCAAGAGCAATGTAGCGAACCTTTCCCTCCCTACAAACATATCTGCTGCTATATTGGCCATTCTGTTCAGTTTTATGAAAAGCTCCTGGACAATAACATAATAGTCTCATCAGATCTTGAATTATGATTTTTGCATTACTCCACATAAAGTTAGCAGACAATTTGCATTGATTTTAGCAAAAAAAGAAAAGATAATTCATATCGCAAAAAGAAAAAAAAATCCATTCAAAAAACCCAACATGTGTGATACAAGTTATAAAGAATAATAGTTCTTTAATCAATATCCAAGTCAGAACACCATGGTTATAGAAGATGTGTTCAAAAAATTCAAAGGAAGAAATTATACGAACTCTGCTTGAAAATCAAATTCAAGGATGAGTAAGGATATTCTAACTACCAAAAATTCTTACTACCTATCACATCACCATTGGATCAAAGAGAGAGAATGTTAAAAAGTTTTTGAAGAGAGAGAAAATGTTAATCTAATGGTAATTAGATAGGTAGTAAGTTGGTAGTGGAAATTTTTGGTAGTGAGAATATCCCTCCTCTTCAAAGATAGGTTAGAATTTATGAGAGTGAATGGGATGATAGTATCAAACTGTATGAAGATATAAAATAATCATGTCTACCTAGGGAAATGGGAGGAGTTTCAATGTTTAAAATTCTCCTTCAATTTACATCATATTAATTTATCATATATATCATAAGATTGAAGGAGAGCCTTGGCATAAGGTTGGGGTTGTCACCATGTGACACAGAGGTCACCAGTTAGATTCATGTAATAAGCCAACAAATGAAGGTAAGACTGGCAACTATAGACTCTTCTCAAGACCTTATGCAGAGCGGGAGCTTTATAGAAGAGATATACAGATATGCAGCCAGCATGTAAAACTAGACCACAATGCACACAGACAAACTACATTATCTGAATATTCTGATGACTAAAACGTTGGAGTAGCTCGGAAATGAGACACAGAATTTTTTATTCCATTCTGGTGGACAGAGTGA